GGCCTGTGATTCCATTAGAGGTCAACAAATTAGTCGCATTTCCACGCGATTCGCCCATGATTTGAACGCGTCAGTACGCCGACTCCGGGTCCGCTTCAATCCGTTGATCTCGTTCGATTCGCCATCGACCAAGCAGACGACTTAATGAGGCACAAGAGTATGCAGTTAATCAGTGTATCAGGCGAGTCGATACAATGTGTATTTCGTCCACTGCGGGTATGACGGCAGACTGCGAACCAGATTTTAAAGAAAAACGCGACCGACGCAGAATCCAGGTGAGAGGGTAAAACAAGGTTTCTGGCTTCATCGGCCGACTTTCCGGTGGTTTATCCCATGTAAAACAAAAGCTGATAGAGAGAATCATCTGGAAGCAGAAGATTTAGGCGACAACATGCACGGGTCTACTTGGCCATAGGCTCGAAAACATCGGACCAAGCAATGTGTATGAATTGGACAAGGTCGGACTACAAATCGGGCCAGCACAAACATAAAAGGCCATCACTGCGATCGTGTCCCAACGTCAAATACCATGCACCAATGGACGCAAAAAGTCTTACGCGAGGTATATATTTGTTCCGCGTTGGGCGATATAGCCCTTTTGGCCCGAGCGCCACCGGGCTATCGGCTAACCTTGTAGAAGCAACGACCCTTTCTACCGCGGCGAAGGGCTTCAATGGTCTCCCATTCCAAGTGATGCATCGGGTCCTGGTGGCATTGTAGCGGCGACTGGAGTGGTCTGTCTCTGCGTTTGTGTTTGGCGTCCCAAACTCTGCCGACCGAACTGGTGGGATTGCCTCGAGGCGATGAGACTGTATACTGTAGTGCCCGTGTTGGACCAAGAATTTCGAACCCATTCTAATGTTATCGTTGCGAGCTCTATTGGCCCTATTCCATCGACTGCGAGTTAAGGTCGCCTGCACCCGACATGCGGAGGTGCATCGACTACTTATCAAGCGTCGTGCCCTGCTGCAGAACTTACTCATCCACCGAGTTGCCGTTGTGTGACTAAGTGGCCCGCAGTGTCGACAAAGGCTTAGATACTGGCACACGCAGTTTGGCACGGTGTAGACACTGGCTGGGACTTTCATGTCGTCTGAACGCCAAGATTATCACTCTCGTGCTACAATGCCAATCCGCTGCCTAGGTGCCTTGTAGCAGCCAGCACAGACATTGGCCATCCCGCATTCGAGAAAAAATTTTTATCCTGCACGTTGGCCGGCCGTCAACCCCGTTCATATCGTGCTTGAAACAGTACCAAGGCGGGCAGAAACCAAATTATAATAATAGTGGCTAGTATGCACAATCAACTCTTCTGGCCTGGATGGAACCCAGATAGACGATGGGACAAGGTCCCCCCCTTCCAAAGTTGAACAGCAATGCAGAGAAGCTCGGTGTGAACGGAATACCACGGGCGGGTAGACACAAGAGCCCTCTACATCATATCATGCAAGGTCACTTTTGACAGGACATATGATATGTCCTTGCGAATGCAATGGTCTCATGGGTAAGTGTCCGTCTTTTCCCCGTCTCCTGACTTGTTGGATATGGCCATTATGAAGACAGCATGGCCGAAGATTCAGGCGTGCGATAGGCTCGGGCCAAACGGGCTGTGCTAGCGAACTCATTGTTGAATATTGCTTTCCAGAACGTTGGGGGGCTGTGATGATGAGCCAACCTTGGAGATTGCCGGCTTCCGTGTATTGCGTTTGTCTCTGTCAAGTTGGAGGTGGGAATTATCCGTTGCTGCGTGCTATCTCGCATCCAGCTTTTGGCAATGTCGCTGGCGCTGTGGCTGTGATTTTCACATACCATAAACTTTGCTATAGTCTGAAGATATGTTTTCTTGTTCGCTTCCAATTGCAGATAGTAAAAGCAAATCTCGGCATGCTGGCGGCGGCAGCTATCCAGGGCGCAAGGACAGGGTTTATCATCATTCAAGCCAATCCAGGTGTCGCGGTATAAAGGATTGGCCCAGAACGGAGAATAATCTGTGAGACACTGATATTTCGCCATGGTTGGAGTTATATACCGGGTGACATTGTGGAATATAAGGGAGATCCAGCCAATCTGGCCGCTGCGGGGAAACCTGCATGTGCGACAATATCCACCTCCCAGAATCCTTCGGATGCATAATGTGTCCTATCTGAGGCTTCAGCCGAGTACTGATATCGGGGTGGGGACCTGTCCTATTTCATAAGCCTCCCTCTCCTTTCTTCCTCTCCGTTTTCTTCCTTCATTTCTCCCTTTTGGAAAGCTCCGGGTGTTCATTCTGTAAGAATAGCGTCTGCCGTGCTGTTTTTCAAAAGTGAAAGCAGGGATTTCCCTGGGGGCAATGGCTTCATGAATATAAGGATCTCGGCTCGGGCATGTCTCAACAGTCTGTGTGCCGTCATCGCCCTCGTTCCATCACCTGATGGTTGGTTCCGTGGTTATATCGGCTGCTGAGTTCCGCGTTGTTCCTATCTCATTGCAGGCCCATTCACTTCATCTTGGCCGACCCGGTTTGGCTGATACTCAGGCGTCTCTTGTGAATGCTTCCGTCTCTACAGTGACACCTCGGGGCTTCCTTCTCATCGCCAGCTCCGACCTGATTTGAGCTTGCTCCGGTCCTCTTCCTGACACTTGACATTCACTTCCTTCTCAAAGACAGCTCTTTCGTCTTTGTGAACTCACTTCTCCATTCGCTTCACCTCCTTGGACTCGGGCTTTGGCCTTCCGGCTAGTGTGACTTGCTCGTTTCCCTCTTCTTCTCCCCCTCTGACTCCTTTCCTCTTCTTCGTCCACCTTCCTTCCTTCACCTTCTTGCTTGTCTGTGATTAAGACTCCTTCGCCAGCGTCTTCCTCCTCGGGTTTCAACTTTTCGTCTCCACACTTTCCAACGACGACATGGCCTCCTCTCAGGACAATGCCGGTCTCCCCGTACCTGTCTGTCGCAATCACCGCGACCTCTTTAACGATCTCCTTCGCAACCATAACCTACCGCTCTAGCCCCGCCGCCGTGATTTTTCTAGGTGGCTCGACAGCGATTTTGAGTTCTTGGTCCGGGATATCGAGAACATGCTGGGAGTCTGGGCCAACGAGATCCATGAGAGTGGCCTCCTGCCGGACGAATACTTCCAAGTCCGTCTTTTCTGACGTTCTCGTGCGGCTTATCCACGCGATCCTTCGTTTGGTTCAACGTGAGTGGTCCATTGTGCAGGAAGGAGAGCACGAGTAGTGCGTGTGGGGGGCTTTCAGGTAAGATTCTTTCTCCTTATCCGCTCCAGGAACGACGTTTCTGACATTTGTCTAGCGATGTGAACCGGTATTTCGTTCGTCCGGGTCGTGCTGGTCCCAACCGGGGAACCGGCCCCGGAAGCGCTAGCACGGCCCTCGCCGTGTCCTGTGTTCCTTGATCTGGTACATTTTCTGTTCTCTTTTTGTTCTGACAACAGTCCCTGACCCACAGTTAGAATTGTAGGCATGGCGACCACGGTCATTAGGGCGCTCCGAGGTTTTGTGCTGGGTATCATTACGCGGTCGGGCTTAGGTCGTTGGGTTTTTGTTTCTTTCCTGTAACGGAGTCGGCGAGTGTTTCCTCTTCTCCGGGAGTTGGTTGGGTCACCTCCCTCCTCTCTATCCCCTTCTTTGAATTGAACGATAAGTTGGTTCCCGGTTTCTTGGCCGGGCTGGGTCCTTCCATGAAATTCTTTGCGTAGCTTCCCACTCATATGTAGTTGTAGTGTCTTATAACGCCGTGAATAGGTGTCTTCATGCCCCGTCCATTTCACATGGTAACATAGCTTTATGCCTCTCCCCTTTCGTACCCAGGCTTTCACCAGGATTCTCTCAACGAAGTATTCGGTCTCAGCATTCATCCAGAGCCCAAGGGGTTATCAGTCCTTCTGCACCTGTGAGGGAAGGGCTCTGATACTGGCAGACGAATCAGGTCCGCATGAAACACATTATGTATTCCTGGTGGGACGTTCAGTCGGACAGCATGTGTTCCTATGGCTTCGGCTACACGATATTTGTGGTTCTTCCAATTGAGTTTTTGCTTGGGCGATCGGGCTTAATCTTCTTCGAGTTTAACCAGAAAAGGCCCTTCTCCTTATGATGGGGGGGTGGAGAACCGGACTTGTTCGCTTGCCGTTCGGCGTCCTGTTAAGCATAAGCTAGTGATGCCCTGGCCCAGTCCGTGGCTTCTTGAACGGTTAGTGCTACAGTAATTTGCAGAATCAAATTCACACCTCAAACATCTCAATTCTATCAAGTAAATGCCAAGCCTTGGCATTATATAATACCGTATCATAGTGTGAGGGGTTACAGTATGATACAGTCCGTTGTTGACCAGATTGATCTCGTGACATCTACCCTACCCCGCCATGCCACCGTTCAGCTGTCCTGACCTGCCCACCGGTCAACAAATTGGTGGGGATCAAACTTCACCATGGCACCAAGACTCGCTCTATCTAAAGTCCAATGGCCAGTGATATGTTGAAAAGCAATGGACTTACCATATCTGAAATTGCTAGGGCAGAAGCGAACGTTTCATTTTGTATAGAATCTAAACAGAGAAAGACAGGACAGGATTCTTTTCGTCATGAGAGCAACTTCATTCAAAATGCAAAGTGGATGGATGCCAGCACCTCCTCTGTGTTAGCTGATGATGTCAGAAGAGCCCTTTTTGCCACCAATAATACATAGAAAGGGTACAGCTACCTGGACGATTCGAAACATTCCAATCCGCTAGAAGTCTTAAGTGGCAAAACAAGAAAAAACAAATGGTACAGTCATCCCATACCCTCCTTCTACAAAACTATTAGACAATACTAAGGTAAGAATACAGTGAGATGAGGTGAGCCGAGAAGCCAAGACGTACTATATGAACCACAGAAATGTCAAGAGGCCAGATCCATTACCAATAACCACACAGTTGTCACTAACCGCCACGGAGCTTGGTCGAAAGTCAGGCGGCAACCAAATCAAACGTTGCCCGCCCCGGGTTATCCATTTCTCATCTATAAAGATTTTGGCGCCTGAGTGCTCAACAGAGGAACTTGATTGTTGATCTTTCATAGATAGCGAACCACGGTCAGTCATGAGATGACAGCCATTAGCTGAGAATGCTAAAGTTTTAACTACTGAACCAACCTCGTGTCTTTGGCGTTCCACGCCCGTGGCCGCATCCCAGAGTCGCACCGTCTCATCGCCTGAGGCCGATGCCACCATCTGGCCGTCGGGCGAGAAGGCCACTGCACTGACCCAACGTCTATGGCCTTGCAGGCTATGGCGTTCCACGCCCGTGGCCGCATCCCAGAGTCGCACCGTCTGATCGCGTGAGGCCGATACCACCATCTGGCCGTCGGGCGAGAAGGCCACTGCATTAACCCGCTCTGTATGGCCTTGCAGGCTGTGGCGTTCCATGCCCGTGGCCGTATCCCAAAGTCGCACTGTCTGATCGTCTGAGGCTGATACCACCGTCTGGCCATCGGGCGAGAAGGCCACTGCATTGACCCAGTCTCTATGACCTTGTAGGCTGTGGCGTTCCATGCCCGTGGCCGTATCCCAAAGTCGCACTGTCTGATCGTCTGAGGCTGATGCCACTGACTGGCCGTCGGGCGAGAAGGCTACTGCACTGACCCAGCCTGTATGGCCTTGTAGGCTGTGGCGTTCCACGTCCGTGGCCGTATCCCAAAGTCGCACTGTCTCATCGCTTGAGGCCGATGCCACTGACTGGCCGTCGGGCGAGAAGGCTACTGCACTGACCCAGCCTGTATGGCCTTGTAGGCTGTGGCGTTCCACGCCCGTGGCCGTATCCCAGAGTCGCACCGTCTGATCGTGTGAGGCTGATGCCATCGTCTGGCCGTCGGGCGAGAAGGCTACTGCACTGATCCAGTCTGTATGGCCTTGCAGGCTGTGACGTTCCACGCCCGTGGCCGTATCCCAGAGTCGCACCGTCTCATCGCTTGAGGCCGATACCACCGTCTGGCCGTCGGGCGAGAAGGCTACTGCACTGATCCAGCCTGTATGGCCTTCCAGACTATGGCGTTCCACGCCCGTGGTTGTATCCCAGAGTCGCACCGTCTGATCGCGTGAGGCCGATACCATCGTCTGGCCGTCGGGCGAGAAGGCTATTATCATAATCCAGTGTGTATGGCCTTGCAGGCTGTGGCGTTCCACTCCCGTGGCCGTATCCCAGAGTCGCACCGTCTGATCCTCTGAGGTCGATGCCACCGTCTGGCCGTCGGGCGAGAAGGCCACTATACTAATCCAGTCTGTATAGCCTTGTAGGCTGTGGCGTTCCACTCCCGTGGCCGTATCCCAGAGACGCACTGTCTTATCGTCTGAGGCCGATACTACCGTCTGGCCGTCGGGCGAGAAGGCCACTGCATTGACCCCGCCTGTATGGCCTTGTAGGCTGTGGCGTTCCACGCCCGTGGCCGTATCCCAGAGACGCACTGTCTTATCGTCTGAGGCCGATACTACCGTCTGGCCGTCGGGCGAGAAGGCCACTGCATTGACCCCGCCTGTATGGCCTTGTAGGCTGTGGCGTTCCACGCCCGTGGCCGTATCCCAGAGACGCACCGTCTTATCGTCTGAGGCCGATACTACCGTCTGGCTGTCAGGCGAGAAGGCCACTGCGTTGACCCCGCCTGTATGGCCTTCTAGAACTTGTATACATGGATCCCATGACTTTCGCATCATAGATACGTGCTCCAGAAATTCCAACCGCTCACCCCAGTACAGATTCTTGCTCTCACAATTCTGAGGGCAAAAAGCAAGCGCAGCCCCGTAAGTTTGCAAAGGTGCTTCTTGTATAATAAATCCATTACTCGTAGCAAATCTCTCAGCTTCATCAACAAGGATGTCCTGGTAGAATTAGATAGAGTTTAGTACTTGGTTGAGATTACCTACCTGGTGTCGGCGGGCAAATCTTCTAAGGGATAAAATGGCATGTCGGACCTCGCCGATAAGTCCAAGGCTTTCTAACCAGTGAAGGAGATGCTTTCGGAAAAATTGAGATATTTCTTGATTTTCTAGTGGCTTAATTCCATCGTAGGATTTAGAATTGGCTGCAAGGTAATGATCCAACCAATACGTGCAACTGTATCGGAGGTCGAAGAGTGGATCAGGATCTGGTCTGCAGGTTGCTATCTCGGAGGCAAAGATGTCGGGTTTTTCGAGACTTAGACCGTAAATGTTGCGCCTTAATTTGGTTGCAAGGACTTGCAGTGACTCGTGAAACATTCGATGATGGATTGCAGAATGTCCAGCCGGGAAGATTGCTGTAGATCCACGGGCATTAAAAAGATAATGTCTGGCAGATTGATGTATGAAATAGACGCTTCCATTGCGGATAGTCAGGAATGACGCACATCTGATCACCGCAGTCTCTAAATGGGTAAGGCCATATTCTTGCTCATGTAACCCGCTTAAACGGCACAGTTCCTTCAGGTGAAGTGGACGGTACGCCAGTGTCATAATTGCAAGGATCAAGATACATAAGTCACAATCGTCGTCGAGTTTAAGTAACTGCCCAACCATACGGTCATACAGTGGCGTCAGGCCCTGTGGTATTTCTTCCAGCGCCTTAAGTATCTTTTTTGGGTTGCTTTTTTCCTGCAAATCTTGGACCACCAAAGCTACCCACAAGAATGTACCATCGGACTTTCGAAGTAACTGGTCCTTAACTTTCTCTAACAGCTCTTTGTTGCGATGGAGGACTTTTAGACGGGACGTTCTGTCATGGATATATGCCGCAACAGCATCGGACACATAACGTGCATTCAGCTCCAGGCTAAGCTTGCCTTCCTCATCGTCGAGTTTCATTAGTTGCTCAATATCCTCACGATTGCGGCTGGAGACTATCCATTTCATATTAACCGGTGAGTTAGGCCGGACTTTTGTAATAAGCATTATTAAACGCTGTAGGTCCACCTCACACTCATCAAGAGCGTCAATGAGCAGGAACATGGTGGCATGTCCTGAATTGTGAATCATGTTTTCGAAGACTGTTGACAAAGAATAGAAAAGGTTTCCGCTTTCAAACAGCGTGGGCTCATGCTCATATCTTTGCCGCAGATTCCCAATTAGATGTGGCTGTTGGACAATCATCATGTAGATCAAACCCCGGAGAGCACCGGTGGCGTTGTTTAGTTTAGGGTCAGTTGCCTGGCATAGAAAGTAGGCTATTGATTGGGATGATTGGAACTGTTTTTGCCGTAACAGTTCTTTGATGATCCCAATCATAAGCATAGTCTTGCCTTTGCCAGCATCTCCCTTAATCCAAAGCAACTGGCTCTGTGGGTTGCAATGCCATTTCTGAAATTCAGCCTTATCCAAAACCCAGCGAAAGGAGTCGTTCAGTAAACCACCCTTTGTGTCCTCAATGCGCTGTCGCTCATCTTCCGGGTTAGTGACCAGCAGGTCTCGTAGGCAGGCTTTATCCTCATCGGTAAAGACTTGGATTAAGTCAGACAATGAATGACCGGATATCGTGGTTCCATTACTTACCGATTTTTGGAACCATTGGTATTGCGGATTTTGGCGGTATCTCTGATAATACTGCTTTTGCAAAGGCTGCCGCCATTACAGCAGCATAGGGCTGCCAGACCTTGTTCTTTTGTTCGTCGCCATAATCGCAAACACCACGAATGTTACCGACTGGTATTTCGTTCATGACCCCTGCTGCCTCCATTTCTAGGCCAATCACATTATATCTGTCCCGCAGTTCATCTCGATCTCGGCTGCTTTTCAGTAGCTTATCTCCAGACCCGAGAGAGCCGTACCACACACGTATCCGTTCAGTATCTAGGCGGCGTTCTCGCGGGACTGGTGTATTGTCACCAGATAAATAGAGAGTATCATTTTCTTGCCCGGGATCTGGAAATTGTGTTGCAGTGTGTGCTATCGTCCTGTAGTAGCCTAATACTGCCTCCGTATCTCGCTTTGCTGCCTTAATCTTACCAATCGCAGACCCCACGATTCGTTCTGTCTGAGGCAAAGAATGCCCGCTGCGCAGCAGCTCGAAACCGATGCCTCCTCTATGTTTTCCCAACTCATAAGGTACTATGGCTGGGCTCTCTCCGACTGGAAGCGCTACAAGGACATCACCAAGTCGGATATCACGCGGCGGAAAACATGTGGGATTCGGAAGGCCGGCAGCAACACCCACAAGTAACCCAAACCATAAGTTCGGGAAAAATTTCCGTACGTGACTTGCAAGGGATGTTGCAGAGTTTGTACCATATGGTTGGACGGCGGCGAACGTGGCAATGACGACATTATGTCCACAGATCTCACCCGCGTGGAACACATAGTCGTCTCCAGGTCCAACCGGGAATCCTCCTGCATGAAATTTATCCAACACATGTAGGGCGGCCTGTACTTCGATCTCAAGCGGGGCGATCCATGCAATGGTATACAGGCTCGGGTCGAGGGTAGGCATTTTCGGCTCTCGTTTTCGTTGAGCCTCCGGTGGAATCACGGTAAGGAGGCACAAAGCGGCACGCGAGTCGGACCCATACGCCTAGTCGATCAGAGGCTGATCTATCAGTCAAGGGTGCTAAATAGGGGTCTCGGGGACTTGATGGAAGAGAACAGAGATGCCCTCTAGTAGTGCCTTGCTGTACTGCACTGCAAAGAAGTCTGACGTGGTTCTCGGTACCTCAGCCACAGCAGCCCCCTGCAGGAGGCAAGACAAAACACGTCGAGGCTGCGTTTATTAATTCAATTAAAAAAAAAAAAAAAAAAAAAAAAAAAAAAAAAAAAAAAACTCTAAATCAGATAGGACTATTTTGCAATCCGAATCTGACTTGACTGATTCCGTTAGGCATTCATTCATGTTACAGACTTGATGAGTTGACTGCTGCGCTAGTACACGTGATCAACGGTGACTATCAAGTGCGGGGTATCAACCACCAAATCCAATCGCCACACTAATGGGACGAAATAGGGCTTCATACATGCGATCTAAATACGAACTTCCTTAGACTATCAATATGGTAGGGTGCGTGGACTTTGAAGGGATGCGAGTGCTTTGTCGCAATCCAGAAAAACATAACGTAAATGGTGTATGTAACACAAAGCCGCATGTCTGATCTGCAGCGATATATATACCATCTGTAAGAGGGCCCGATTTCTAAGTTGAGTGTATCATATGCCAGTTCAAAGTAAACTAAAAAGGGACTGGTTATAATAGAATAGTATGCAGCAAAACAAATACAAACGCTACATGCATACTCTCTCTTTCTCTGTATAAGCCAGGCACGTGTAATTTTGAAATAAGCGTAGGTGACAGCCGTGCTTTATGGCAAATGCGGAGATAAATATCTCGCACGCTCCGGCGATAGGAACAGGGCCTATGGTGGCCTTCGAGTCCCACGATATTGAAAGGATACTGCAGGATTGATGTGTCTGTTCTCCAGAACGGTTGCTCGCTCGAGAACCCGGGTCTGGGCTCCTATGAGTGAGGAGCCATATCCGAGGAAGCAGGCCGCTGCCCTTCAGGGCTGCCATGATTCAGCGGAACCTATTCATCTATCCTAGGAGACTTCGTAGCCTCCAACACAATCCTTGTATAGAGTGCCACCCATTCGCCCCGTTCTCAGAATATAGCTTGAGTCTAAACACCAAGACAAACACTGATCGCGCACACCTCCAAGCTTCCAACTTGTTATGTGTATATTCCCCGGCACTCACGCTAAACTATGACTGCTTTATGTTGCGTAGCTTCTGGCTCTTGCCTACAACCCTGTCTTCGGATACTGGTACTGAGACTCGATTTCCGGAACGATATAGAATCGACAAAGCGTCTCGCTGATCTCAATATGAGGCAGAAACCTAATTTCCAGCAGCACTCAGTTGCTGACGGTTCCCTGATGTGAACGCTGGTTAATGCGGAAACCCGAATAGCTAACTGAAAGCAGGGAGCCCTTGCAAGCGGATGATAATGGGCCTGTTTATTTTGGAAGGTCGGAACGGATCGGTGAATCAAGGCCGATTACTCGGTGGGCCCCTGGCGAGCCAGAACTGCAACAAGGAATGCCTCGGGTAAGAGCATACCGGAGCAAAGTACGCCAACAACATATCTGAGGGAAAAGCTGGCAAAAGGGGAAGAATCCCGAAATATTAACTACAATAGTCGGGTTATCTCGTCGTCGAAAGATGGTCAAGACATGCTACGGTTTCAGTTTGGCCAAGGTTTAAGATTAACTGTAGACGTCAACGTATTATTGGGGCTTAGAATCTGGGCATCTATGGAAGCTGAAAATTGGCGGTCAACGCTATGTGTAAGGACAACGCGTACACAAGAGGGGAGCTTCTGGTTCCGTCTCACAGTAGGTAAAAAAGAATTATAGATTAATAGATCGAGCATCATAGTTATATGTTTCATATCCATCCGTGATACTACGGATGTTGGGTATTGAATGGATAAAATATACCCGGGCATCTTTCGACAATCTCGGGTGAAAGGCCGGGCGGGCATTCTTTCCCCTCGATAATCTATACTGGTTTTACTTCAGTGTCTTATTGCCATATTCAATCATCACGCTAGTAGGAAGGCCAATCCACGAAATCCGGTGAAATATCGTGCAAATAGTAATTCCTTTTAGAAACCCGAGTAAACACACCCGATCAGACAAATGATAGTTGCATTCATGACCTTATCAATGAGGCCAGGGGTGCCTGAACATTGGAAGGGGAATAGTACAGTATGAGCAACTGGGCAATTTCTGCTGCAAACCTCGATTTATTCGATGCAGTTTTGCTCCGTCAGTAAAGCAACATATTCTGTATCGCGGTATGGGTTTTGCCCGCAACACTAAGTAGGCCTTGTGGGGTGCAGAAACCTGAATACACAAAACTGGATGTGAGCAAGAGTGGTGACCAGATACTAAGCGGTCAGATAAAACTTAAATGACCTGGTTAACGTTAAATCACGACAGAGCGTGAATGAGCAGTCAAGTGGTCCCGTATCCAAAATTCCCTTGGGAGTAGCGCATCCTATCGTTCCCATTGCCCAGTCCGCTGGATCGGCTATTATGTGAAACTTTTCGATCTGTAACATACGGGTTCATACAAGCCCCTTTAATACGCGAAGTGTATGACCCTGTGGCGCAGTGTATTGAAACAGTCCGAGAGACCGCACTTGAAATTGTATTACGCCGGCCAACACCCACGGTATAGCGAACTGTTTTCCGTATACCGCGATGTCAGGAACGTTCAGGCATACACACTCACTACAATGTGTAACTAGCCAAATGCTCTCATTCTTACGTACAAGACGCTTTCACCGTTGCGTTACCAATCTGACAAAAGTTCATAGCCCCTACGGGCGTAATACCGTGATAGACATAGCCCACATTCCACTCGTTTTTCCTGCGAACCTTACTCTTTACTCCTTGATATAAACTTCCCACAGAGCCTACTTATTCCATTTTGACACATGAACGATGCAGCTCTTCCTTCACAAGAAACTGCCAATATGCGTGACAAGAAGCAATCCTGCAACTGCGTCTCCCCCACAACGAGCATTGAGAATAGGCTAAAATAACACCATCTGCCTAGACTACTACTACTCCTATCTTCCGCTCAGTGTGCAGAGTACTACTCTAGTAAGTCCGCGTGAGTTCTTTATATCTATCAGCACCTACAGGAAAGCAGTATTGCTATAGTGGGTCCCGCGAACCGGCTCCCGTAGTCTACAACGTCTATTACGGGGGCAATGAATGGCATTAACCGAAGAATAACGTCAGTAAACAATGCGGCTGGTTATGAAATATCAGGAGCACGAATAAGCAAGACCTTCCTCCCAAAGCATAGAATGTACTCACCGGCTCTGTATGTATAATGGGATCTAAGCAGCCGGCGAGGAAGGACGAAAAGAAGAGTATGTCATAATGCAGCCAGCTTGTCACGGAAAACCTGCCAGTTGCGAGAGAATAGAGAGGGATGGAATCACAACTCCTGGGCCCTGAGGCCAAAATAATTTCAACTCGGGCCCAGCCCAGTCTGAAAAGCTCTCACTCAACCCATCACCCCACCTTGTCACCGAACCGAATCGTCTAATGTCGAAACGCGAGAAACGCGAGATCTTGTTTCCGCGTTTCGACCACGCATTCAATCAACACAGCCGGTCAATAACAGGTACATGTACCACATACCACATCTCTTCAGCTCGCTCAGGATTGTTCCCACCACCCGAAGCCTGACGCAGTTGATGATATCGCTCTCTCTCTGTTTCACCTGCAAAGCCGAGGTCCCACCCAACGCCCTCATTAGAGCTTCTTAACATTCACCAGAAGGACTGTGTATGGCAGCGTCAAACCCACAAATCCCTCCTGCCAAACCCACAGTGTCATTTGGAGACCATCGACATCGTTTTCACTACAACTCGTCGCAATTGAGCTCGAGAAGAAAGCAATGAAGCACTTGGCTAGTGGAAACGGCATCAGCAATGTACCCATGATCATGATCCTTGAATTCAGCATTGCCAGCTTTTGCGAGATTCCTAGCGGAAATGGGACCATATGTAAACAGGTGTTACCCGTCTCATCTGCAAGCTCACCATAGTTGCACCACGAACGCAACTAGGGGCAAGTACCTATCAGGGAAGAGGAAAAAGCATAATGCGCTTATCAGCGGAGCGCTGACGGAGCTGTGCATCACAGCGCAAAATTATGCAGCCGCCAGATAAGGGAATGGCTAGGAAGCGAATCCAGGCATAAATGCCTCCTTCATTGGCCTCGCCGAGGCTCAAAGTTCGCCCCGGTGAAGCGGTACATGTAAGATCAAGAAAACCTACATAGCGATAGTAGATACCTGAATATTGCCGTTAGGCACAACACGTCAGCGCATTAATTCAGGCAAGTCACCAACTAATTGGGGTTATGACGACACAAGGGGCCACAGGTTTCCGTTAAGGTAACCTCTTTGATCAGAACACAGCTCCCAACTTGGAGCCACGGATACACCGGGCATTCTCCCGCACCGTCTATAAATTCTGTGAGAATGAACGAAACCAACAAAATGAAGATTCACCGCGTCTACTCTGATTACACTTACCTTGCGCAACAAACATCAAAGGCTTGTCCGAAACAAAGGCCCGTAACTGGTACCAGAAGCGACGACCAAGTAAAATACATCGAACCGCAAATCATCTTCCAACGTACTCCAAAGACTTCTCTTTCGACAGGCTATTCATGAATAAATTGAAAGTAAATGGGGATTTTTCACTAGAGAGGGATTGACCGAGACTGCTATATTGGAGCGCCCTTTGCGAGTTTAAATAGCCTTGATGCATTATCTTTCTGTTTCAGGAGTTTATTTTACAAATCAGTCAGTTGGTTCTATTCAGGGACTTCGAGGTTCTAGAGACCAGCGAGGATCCCAAGAGCCAGGTTGGGCTTTCTAAGATCTACGGTTCCTCTATATTATCATGCGTCGGCTATGATATCATTCAGTGATTTCCGCGCGAATATTTCGTATAACGTCTACTGACACATGTACTACGTATCGACTATCATGCCAGCAATGTCTACAGATTGCTTGGACAAGAAAGAATAGGGCTCCATGTAAGGAATTTAACCCGATTAGAATGAATCCATTACGACTTTATACTGTAGTTAGCAAGCCTTCCAGGCCAGGATAGCCACAAATAATCAACACTACGTCCTCACTTTCGAATCTTATTCTTTTAATCAGTATTATGCATTTTGATGGGGAAACATTGGCATGCCATTCTACCAGTAGGTATTCGGGGTCAAAATTCAGAAAATATCTATAATAGACTAGCGTTAATTGGTGTTCCGAGAATTCCTTGACTCTTGGGATATCCAGGGCCGCTCCCATGAACATCTGGGCTTGTGCTGTTTTTCGACGGAGAAAGCCCAGAACAATGTTGGCCCAGCAATTCCTCGTGGGGAAAAGGTCGCGGGCATCAGAAGGAAAAATATCTTCCCTGATTCGTCATTTTCGTGATGGCAGTGCTGAGTTTTTTGGGGAGTGTGGCGGGCAAAAGTGAACTCGGAGTGGAGAAACGGGCAAGGGGGAGACCGCTAGTTGGGGTGCAGTTTATTGAGGTTACTCACTCAGGGCACTCAGTCTTCCGCTCACCCCGTGCTCAGTGATCGCCTCAGGCTGCTCAGGGCGTGCTCAGGGCGTGCTCAGGTCTACTCAGTGAGCAAAAAGCGGCGAGGGGTGAGCACTAAAACGGAAAGGGAAAGCCTTCGAGCTGGCGAGAAAATCAAGTACGTATGCGACTCTGTCATGGATTGGAGGAGCGAACTGCATTGGAGCTCCTCTGCTACTTCAGTAGCCGGATAATTGGGCACCCAACACTCGAGTTGGGGAGCACAATTTACATTGTTTCTGTGGCACCCGTCACAGGGTAATTCACCGGAGCAGTGACATTCGGATTAGCGAGTTGCCTGGAAGTTAACAATGGCCCACATCCTAGGATCCTAGGACGCTCCGTCTGCTTAACATTAAATGAAGGAGAAATTCATTTGGACCTACCATAGAACTAGAAGGATAAACCTTGTCCTCCGACTCGTCAGGTTCGAAGAGAGTGGTAAACCCTTTCGGTAGAGGACTGTGTACCAGGGGGTGACAGACTATAAGCACCAATTTCACCTGGCAGCCTGGATCGCCTTTGCAAGCTGTGTTAGGTGACGTTTTGATAAGACGGCAATGGCCGAAGTTTGAGTGATTAATTCGGTCTGCTCTGTTGTACCTCGGAAGCAAAATCGATGTAGAGATGTATCCAAAGTGCCAGGGCCGGACCGTGTGACTTTATGTCTTCCTGGGTGAGCATGGCCGGCGCACCTTGCAACCTATTGGAATTCTTCCTACTTCGCTCGGGAATACATATATCATGGGAAACCGCACACCTCTCCTAGGAACGCGGCAAGCTCTCGGGGGAACGTGACAATCAGCTCTCGGAGGTTATTGAAAAGCTCCGCAGATGTTCGATGCTCCACAGAACCAGAGTAGATATTGCAGGAGCGTAGCTTAGTTAACAACCATCTTTGTGGTAAATGCACTGAGAGCGTACCTGTACACCAAACCACAGCGCCCATGTCATATTGCAAAAGCCTCATACAGTATAAGTCTATCCATTGATTCCGCTGGTGGTGACCATGGATTTGCTTTACTTTGACACTGAACTACCAAGACTCCAGTTTCCCACAGGACATTAAGACTCAGTTTAACGTACATCTCACGCGCTGAACTCCAACAGTTATGCATCTATTCGAACTACCGGAAGATGTTCTTCTGTCTATTACAGACGAGGTCGATGGTTCTACGGACCTTCTGTCACTGTGCCGCACTAGCAAGACACTTTTGCGGATTACACTCGGCGTGCTTTACCGGTTCAACATTCAATAACAAGGCAGTTCGGCATTGCTTTGGGCTGCAAGCAAAGACGAGATTACGGTCATTCAGGCGCTGTTAGGTTACGGTGCTGATATAAACGTCAAGGACGACGAAGGATGGTCAACCGTATTCCTGGCAGCACAGAACGTCAATTCTAGAGCTGTGGAACTACACAATGTCCAGGGCACTTAGAATGACACCATTGATCCTTCTATTTTATTGCAACTCTTCTTATCCGAAGTAGTACATAGTCTACGCCTGTTAAAAGTGTTATATTACCTATCCGCAAGCTCCATAGGGATTGTATGATGAAGCCGATGGGCTTTCTACAGATTATAGACTCTCTTGAACGCGCTATGGGGGCGCTGTCAAACAAGCATACGAGAGTCCTCCTTCTTCTCCGTCTACATGTATTTGTCATAAACTATTGTCTTCCTAATGAACCTAGAGCTTTGCCAAGATCTAGGTTGACCCATGTTTAAAGTTCGGCGTCGCGCTCGTGGCGGGCGATTTCGAACCCCTGTGAAACCTCTGTAGGCAACGAAAGTAGACCAGAAAAAAAATTAGATGAAAGAAGATCAATAGGTATCCCTGCACCGCGACTAGATTAACTGTACATACAGAGCCTGTGGCTGCCGCGGGGAGAGCACCTAGGAACCCTTCGATCGTAGCCAGCCACCATCCTTCGAAACCCGGCCCTACGTCTTGGGCTGTACAAACAGGGCCTCTGCGAGGATGGCTGGAGCCACCCCCTGTCCATCGTCGCGGGGGGATTTCGACAGCGCCGTGAAGGTAGATCTTGCGGCCCTCCACCTGGTGCGGCCAGGCGCGCAAGCGGATCGGAACATGCGGCGGGACTGGTTGCCTGAAAGAGGTATTGGGGTAGGCGGTGACCGCTGATCGATGCTGGTCCGGCGGTCGACAGCAGTCCGCCAGAATCTGATCCAGCAGCAGGGTTAGGTAGCCGCCGAACAGCTTGCCGTTGTAGTAACACATCTGCTGCTGGGGCGCCAACCGCAAGTTCGCCTCCGCTTCTCGCCCCAGACGGTGCGGTCGATACCGGGGTCTATACCCATCAAGTAACGACTGAAGGAGCTGCTGCGAGGGACTGGCCGTAGGGTCGGGACCCTTGGGGTGGAGCTGAACCATTAACGTCAAATGCCTTGAGCTCACATGGGGAGTCTTACCAATAACGGGGACGCATAAGCCAGACTCGTGTCCTGGAATAGAGCCGCTGGCTGCGCCGCGCGGTGCAGAGGCTGATGGCGTGTCGCTTGACTGAACCGGCAAACAATCGTGCGTCGAGCCATTCTGGGTTGGAAATCGGTCACTGTCGAAATAATGCTGAGAAAGGAGTGGGGGAGGTTGCTTGTATGTAATCTAATGAGTGGAGATGTGACAGCCATGTCTGCTGCAGCTGCAAGTCATATTTATTTGTCAACAAGTCGCTCGGAAGATGGGTTGGCTTCTTGCACCTGGCTCACTGTTCGACTGGGACACTGGGTAAATGCAGGCGTCAGGTTTAACGATATCTGCCAACATATGGAGACTACAATTTTCACCACTGGACTAGCTGTACACTGTGGATCAATTCTCATATTACCAAATCATACCCAGATACGCTACCTACTTGAAAATGGAATGATTTTATATTTTATTCCTACAAAAAACCGACATCAGTAAAGGGCATCTCCTGCCAGGATACTAATCACGGATTCTTAGGACTGCACGTCAGGAAGTAGGAATTGCAAATTGGCCAATGGCGCGGGCAGCCAAATGACCTCACGGCCCGTGTTCGAAGTGGGAAAGGCCAAAAAGGATACGGGAAACACGGGAACAGGAAGCTTGGGTCGATAATTATTTGACCAAACTGGGATTCTTGTCGTCAGACGGGCAATTCACTGTCTGGCTGCTTGAATCCACGAACGGTCGAGTTCTACCGAAGCCATGGGCTACACTGTAATATCCGTCCATGGGTAGATAGTCTCCGCGACTTGCTTTTATTCAAACAGTAGAACATTGTGCAGGCATTTGATCGAGATACTCGGGCAACGACTAAGGCTTTCGGTAAATGGGCAAATGAGCAGGTCAACCGGTATTGGCTTAGGTCAGCATGAAAGAATGGCCCCGATTTTCTCGGAGTGTGGTGCCAAAAAAGCCCTGCCGGCGTTTACAACGCTAGTCCTTACTAGGAGGTTCAGGGGTTCAACCTCGGGTTCAGCTTGGCCATTTGGAACATGAACCCCTCTAGAAACGTAAATTACTCATTTGATTCTCGTTGTTTCCCCGCGTAAGGCAAGAGATTCGTGGTCAACAGGATTGAAAAATGGGGCATATGCACCGTGAATACACTGGATTACAGGTTTTTCTTTGTATTTATCTGATGGTCGGCTTCTTCGAGTCTGTTAACCGTCATGTAGAAAACTCGGTTGTTGAATATATATCATTAACACGGCATCAGGGGATCTACGATCAAACACAACACAACAATCCCCACAGATATATTCACCACAAAGCAACGGATAACATGATATTTTTTTGCCAACCAGATACCACAGAAATAAATGAACCTGGTACATTTCCCGCCCCTAAACGCTGCTCATGATCGTGCTGCACAGTTGGGCTGATGCCATGCTTAGTCATACCGACCAAGGAACCTTGAAAGATCTAGGAAAGATGCGGAAAACACTCTAAGCTAAAAATCATACTGGAATGATCTGCAAGATGGAAACATCTTGAAAATAGTCACTAGAAACGGGCTCTCCCGGAGGCTGAATAGAATCGCAAGAGAGTAGGCATGGAATGGATAAAGTACGATCCTGATCATGCACATCGGACGCGATTAGCTGGCGGTCGCCGGTCGCGCGGAGCTAGTCTCCCAGCGATTCAGCCAATCCCTGGCATAGCGGCGGAGGACACCGCTTTCCAGCATTTCGGTGCCCTCTCGGAGGGTCTCGCTGTCGCGTCGGGCATTCTGCATCGTGAAGGTCTTGGCGAGCTCGGCGGCGGCCCCCTGGCCATATGTCTTCCGGTAATGATAGATCAGCTTCACGGCTGGGTTGATCCTCTCCTCGTGTCGGGCTTCACTCGCCTCCAGCAACTGCAGCCACTCGGCAAAAGGCACCGCGTCGAATTGAAATCCGCTTCGCTTGAGCTGATCCAACAGTGCGGCCCAGGTGAAGGTGTGGGGATTCACTATGTTATAGACCGAGCCATCCCCGGTGCCGTTTACGACGTCACCATTCGTAGAACTGTCGACGCCGTCACGGATCGCCGTTTCCGCTCTCTCGAGGCATGTCCCGGCAATCTCGAGGATGCACGGAGCCAGCCGATCCACAGGCAACCAGGAGCACGTCGCGTCCATCTCCGGCAACGCCTTCAGCGTCAGGGCGGACCGGACCAGCAGCGGAATCGCCTCCGAATCATTCCACAGACCCCTCTGGGAGTGACCGGAAATCTGTCCGATGCGCAGGGAATAGGCACGCGCGCCCATACTCCGCGAGTGACTGACGATCTGTTCCCCCACCCACTTGGACTGGCTGTAGCCCATGGACAGGGCCGACTCGATCGCCAGCGGTGTCTCCTCGATCTCCGATACGGATGACGCAAGGGCGGTTGAGATCGAGGAGCAGAACAGGACAACGGCCGGAGTGGCGGAGTCGACCGATTGCGAGAAATTGATCAGGTTGTGAAGGCCCTGGATGTGTGGTTCGAAGCTCTCCAGTGGCAAAGCGAAGTTGACAGGCCATGCGGTATGGATGACCAGGGAGACGGATTGCCTCAACTCGTGCAGCACGCATGGATCGAGGCCGAGATCCGCTCGGTCCAGCCTACTCTCGAGGCCGACGATTTTGGAGGCGTTGGGCTCGACAACGGCCAGGCCCTTGTGTGCAAGACTGCGCAAGATGGCTTCTTTCGGCCGGGATTGTCGCGTGAGGCAGTATACCGTGGAGACGGTCGTATCGTCCACCAGCCTCTCGAGCAGATGCGCACCGGTGGACCCGGTCGCGCCCGTCAAGATCTGCTTCGGTCAATACTACACGTGTGCGGCAGAGCGTATCATAAGACATACCACAGCTTTGCGATCAGAGGCACAGGTCCCTGGAGCGTGGTGACGTTTGAACGACCCGTACTTCTGGACTAGACTATGTGCGAACAGACTATTTCCGAGTGCCTGAGAACCGTCCGGGGCGTCCGTGAGCCGGCCCTGCTGGATCGCGCAAATTTCTTTCGCCAGCCGAGCTATACTTCCCATCTCGTACACGATGTTCGGACGGAGCGTCCGCTCCCCGGGGAACCGGAAATCCCTCAGAATCATCCGGCGGAGGCTGATCGCTTGAAGACTGTCCACCCCTTTGGAGTAAAGGTTATCGGTTTGCGTGATCTGTTGACCCAGGTCTTCTTGGCAAAGCTTGAGAAGATACCCTTCGGTTTCTTTGACCCCCAATAACAGGGCACCGGTCCCTGCCTCCGAAGACGGGTACATCTCTTCGATCGCTGTAGCGAACTGCCTATACACTTGAGCTCGGATCATAGATCCCTTGTCTGTGGCTGGGCACGTGACACCGGCGGGCAAGACTTTGACCAGTCCTCGGGAGATCCGCGAAAATTGTTCCGCGCGGGAGTTGGCATCTTCGACGGCTCTCCAAACCTGGTCCACAATCGCTTTGTCGTCCAGATCCTGGGCGTGCTTCGAGCGGAAGATTAACAGGCCCGGCACGGCCTTTTGGATCCCGACCACAACGGCTTCCTGCACCAAGGGATGCTGCCTGATCGTCCCTTCGATCCACAGGGGATGCACCTTTTCACCATTGACGAGGGTGATTTGATCGTCTAACCGCGAAACATACCTCCACCGGTTCGGAAGACTGGGGTGCTTCTGGAAGATATCGCGAGAGTGATAAGAACCGTCGTCTGTATTGGAAGCGCTCAGGCTGGGATGGCCACGCAAAAAGACGCATTCGTAGAGACCGTCGCCGATGGGCTTCATTTGGACGAATGCGCTGACATGGTCAAAGAACTGCAGGTAGTTCCAACCGCGATCATCTAGAGGCCGCGAGATGGACCCAGCCACCAGGCCGGCTTCCGTTCTTTCCACTTGTCAGCTACCCTGCCTCCGGCGCAGCGAGGGAGTGTGAGGGGGGGGGGATGGGGATTACGTGCGATCCAAACAAGCCACCGAACCGGACTCCCTCGGCCACCAGGCGATCGCCTAGTTGGTCCGGACACGCTGCCCCGCCGAACGTCACTAATTGGCAGGCTTGGAGGATGCGGATACCGTCGGGCTCGTCTACCAGCAGCTGAAGCACGTATGGGACGCAGTGCATGGACTCCGGTTGGGCTTCCTGCAGGGCCGCCACCAGTGCTCTCCCGGTGATCGGCAATGAGGTATCCCACCCGAATGCCGTCTTTCGTCTGTACATGGCCTGCAGCGCGGTCGCCAGGCCGTACCCGTGGTACCAGGGCAGGGTGTTGAAAGCACTCCACCCGGGCCCGATGCGAGCCTGCGAGACCAGGACGCGGTGACTCAGATACAGTGGCTTCGGAGTGCCCGTCGAGCCGGAGGAGTGCAGTATCACCGCGATGTCGCTGTCGTTAATCTGTGGCAAGCCTTCACCCAGGGTCTGGGCTACGGTGTTCTGGCCTGCTTCGGTATCACGCGAGGATGGACGGGTTGGATGGCAAGCGATCGACATTAGCCTCGACACCCCAGCGACGATGTCTCGGACCGGATCGGTTTGGCCGTACAGGACTGTGCGGCAGCCCACCTGGTCCAGAAGCGAGACGCAGGCCGAGGCCGACAGACGAGGAGAAAGCATCATGACGGTGTAGCCAAGTCGACTGAGCGAAAACAAGGCAACTACCATGCTCAAGTCCGACACACTAAGGAGAGCGACAGTCTCTCGTCGGGTTGGACACTGCTGGTGTTAGCTCGCGGACCTATGGGGGAGACCATGCACCCACAGGTTTGAGTCCCGACTCAACCAGAGCGTGAGCGGACGTTTCAATCATCCGATCTAGATCGCGCCCGCTAAAATAGTCGTAGGAAGGGCCGTCGTCGGATGGCCGTGGATAGGCCAGTATAGGCAATTGGTTCGTGTCTGCTGCACGTTGGCGTATCAGGTCATCAAGCACACGGATATTTCCGAAGGAGGACGCCACATCATCCGAATGCTTATCTTGGAGGGTCATCTTTTGTAAGGTGTCCATAGTAATGAAGTATGTCTCGGTGGAGCGAAGAGGGACTTCTGGGCTAGCTTTGTGGGTGGGATACAAGTGCAAGTCTTGTGATGTGCAAGAGGCGAGACACTCCCACGATGGAAGACGGATAGCACTAGTTAAATACTGTGTGGGTGGAGCGGTCTTGGAAGGTGTAGCTTTAACGCGGTAGCCACAGTTGGCCCGATTAAGTAGCAACCGGATAGTACCTGGTAGGTAGGTTGTATTTATTGACACCGGTGTTCTGGACATCACTTTCAACCGTTTATTCGACATAGACCATGAGTGACCCAGAGCGACCGGTTCAAGTTAGCGAGCAACTCCGACTGACAATTCCGCTCGGTGTGTATTTGGTCCATATATTGCTTGGCTATTCTGTATTGCGCAGTTTGCGTGCAAACAGTGGTTAGAGGCCAAAACATGGGCAACGGTCAGTGACCGAGCCGCTGTTTCACCGGGCAGGACTTGGGTTGAGAAACTCTCCTATTCTTAAAGGACTCTCTGATACGGCTTCCCATGGGCAAGCAAAACCCTGTTGCGACAGGGATGGTCGTTGTGATATGTGGTATATTCGGTATTTCGATGTAAATCACAATATTATAAGTAGATGTGCATTCATACGGTACACGCTGAAGGCTATCTCCAATATTCTGATCTGATCTTTCGACTGCCTCAAAGGACACATTCACTTATAGCCTATGGGGATCTCAGGGAACGCAACACAGCTCCATTTCCTCTCTCCCGAGCAGCAACATATGCTGTTTTCCCAAAGTTATCTTTGAGCCGCGTTTGGGAGTTAGGGCGCAGAATCCGAACGATTTCGTGGTGTCCTCCTGCAGCAGCCCACCAGAACGCCGTCCGCCCGTCACCGTCGACAGCGTTGATATCAGTGCCCTGGACATCCAGCAGCAGATTTACCATCGGCGCTTGGTTTCTAGATGCAGCGTGCATGAGGGGCGTCCAGCGCCACTTATCTCGGACACTGACATCAAGTTTCTCACCTTGCCTCAGCAGAAGGCTAAGCACGTCCAAATGGCCAAAGATGACCGATACGTGTAGTGACGTTGTCCCGGATGCGTCAACTTGATTGACGTCAATGTACTTGTGCCCCAATAGTAGGCGCACCATATCTTTCCTACCCGAGCGACATGCAACCCAAAGGGGCGTGACCTCGTGTTTAGATTCGGCATTCACTCTGATTTCTGGCTGCTCAAGAAGGAGCTGTGCCACAGGCAAGCGTGCATGTTTCACGGAACGTGCTAGAGGTGTATAGCCATCTAAATCGACGGCATTCAATTCGACGTCGACTTGATTTAGAAGCAGCCGGATTAGGCTAGTTTTACCAAACTTAGCAAGGTTATGGAGAGGTGCTCCGCCCTTGTGGTCTGGCATGTTGTAGTCCACGTTTCGATCAAGCAGTCGGCCGAACCATCTATCGAATCCAACAAATGTCACCCACCAAAATGGAGTGCGGCCGTGAAAGTCCTGGGCATCAAGATCGATTTTGGGGACGCACAGCAAGATATCAATACACGCGTGCTTGCCGTATTGGATTGCTACATGTAGCGGGGTGTTTTGCCGGCTGTCCCGGGAGTTCACACAAACTCCGCGCTGCTGAAGCAAGAAGCCCATCATCACGGCATTGCCTAAGCGAGCAGCGTGATGAAGGGCGGTTGATTGATTTTCATCAACATCTACGGCATTAATATCAACGCCTCGCCTTAGGAACATCTGTGCAATGCTTGCTCTGTCATTGGTGACGGCAAGGAAGAAGTGTCTCTCATCTGGCTCCACCTCCTGTTGCAACAGTCTTTTGACCACACATTCGGCACCTCTGGTAATGGCAAGCCTGAGTAAGGAGAGACCGAGAAACCGGAAAGCTGCCGTAGGCCGACAGCAATGGACATATCCAATCTTGTCCAACATATACCTGATGAATACTTCATCACTGTTGATGGACAACGCATACCATAGGATGCTCCGGCCTTGATCGTCGCACCCGTTGATGTCAATACTGTGGTGGCTCAGCAGTAGCTCAATTGTGTCCACGGATTGGCACCGCACAGCGCACCAGAGGAGCGACTTCCCATTTTGAATGGAATTGACATTGGCACCGTAGGATAAGAAGGTCCTGGCAATATCCCGTCTGTCATGCTGCACCGCCCAATGAAGCCCGGAGCTGTTATTGATTGCAATATTCCGTTTGAAAAGGACCTTGGCAAATGTTGATTGCATGTCGTGACAGGTGAGACATAACGCGTAAAGGGTTCTTTCGTCGAGCAGCTCGCCAACCATGCAGCGAAGTTCAAGAGGGAGCCGTGTAAGCATTGTCATTGCTGGATTTGGCGTGAATGGAGATGCCAGTAGAAGTAGCTGCAGCGAGCCACAGCCTCCTCACTGGGCCAGTCTGGCTCAATTTAAATGTCCTATAGGATGAGAATCCCTGGCAAGTCGGAAGACGCTGACGAAATAAAGGAGCGAAGCGCACTCCGGTGAGCCCGTAGGCTAGTTCTGGGGAGCGATATATGGATACCTGGGAGCGCCGGAGGTCGGAAAAGTCTATAAAAATCTGGAAAATTACGTAGGTCCCTTCATTCGGGCGCTACCAGAAAACGTCATGGCATGTATGCGTTGCTTCGTATAACCGTGCTCTCGAAGCACATAAAGGACGTGACACGCTGCCCAAGCTCCCTCACACAATCACGTTCACCGAGTTATCAAAAACCGAGTTATCAAATTAGATATATTTCCATTCAACTATAGCTTTTCCCTTCTCACAATGGCCCCCCAAAGAGCAGTGGTGACCCAATCTGCAACCCAGTTCGGCAAGGATGGAGTACCAGCACACCTCCTTCTATTTATCTTGCACCTTACATTTCGTGCAGCGAGTCACGATAATCGTGAATCCCTATCCGTTCTCCAAATGAATCTGACCCTGTCTAACAAGTTGAACCGGGAGTTATGTCTGGAAGACATTGCTCGGCAGAATGTCCCCTCTCTGCATTGGGCCGTTCGGCATACAGCGCTCGACCTCATTGAGATGTTGCTTAAATCCGGGGTCGACATCAATACAGTGCATCGGGGAAGTACCCCGCTAGTTGAAGCCGCCACCCTGGGCTTTTCCGGCATCATCCCGAGACTCCTATCGAATCCACATCTTGATATGAAACAACACAAACAGGGGATGAGGGCGTTGTGGAAGGGGATAGAGAACGGTCACCCTTCGGTTGTGCAAGGCCTGCTCTGTAGCGACAATGTTGATGCCAATATCGTTTTTCTCTACCGAGGGGAATTCACGACACCGCTCACCTACGCCGTTACCCGTCATTCTAGGGAGATGGTGGAGACTCTTCTTGCCGATCGCCGAACCGACCCCAACTTCCGGTATAAAGATACGCCAGCCCCTTTTTTTCGCGCTATGAGAGCCGAGTTCCTATGTCTTGCCCAGCGCCTCATGTCTGACGAAAGGTTCGATGTGACGGTCTGCTGTCCCTGTGGCGGCAACCCACTTCATCATGCTGCCGAGACAGGGTGTCTCCATATCCTACAGACCCTGCTGTCGGACTTCGACATCGATATAAATGCACAGGATGCAGATGGATTTACGGCTCTTATCTATGCAGCCGCAGAAGGACATGAACCTATTGTCCGGGAGCTTCTTTCGCACAGTCACGACATCAATCGTCGCGACCATCGAGGCCGCACCGCCTTGTGGTGGGCAACCAATAACGGGCACGAGTGGGCGGCCCGATGTCTGTTGGCACGAAGTGGCATCCGCGTTGATGCGATTGGTGAGGATGGGTCCACCTCTCTTCACCATGCTGTGCAATGGGGCTCGGCCACGCTGATTAACCTCCTGCTTGCACACCGAGACATCAATGCAAATGTTTCAGACGATCACGGACGCACACCTCTCTGGTGGGCTGCCTACCACGGTAACGGAAGGGCTGTGGGATATCTACTTCAAGGCAGTGGGGCGAAAGTCGACATCCGAGATCGTTGGCAACAGGGACCACTTGAGGTTGCCAGAGAGCATGAGCAATATTACGTCTGGCTTCTGCTTCGAGTCGCAATGATAGACGTCAGGCTCCTCTGTGTTCTCTGCATCATTGTTGCTTTTTTCTTTCTATTCATCTAAAGCGACATGCCAGCATGTTGATTTCAGATACAGAGAGCTGTCATTACCTTCGCTATGTACTCGCACCCCATCATGGCTGTGGAGTGAGGCTCCAAGTCCGGCCCAAGTGCGATTGGATCTAGTCATACGGTGTATCGAGGGAATGTTTCAGCTGGCCAACGCATGGAGATTAATACCATTCCGGTTTCACATTTGGAACTATTTCGCATCATATAAACCAATTTTGAGCGCGCCTCAGGACAGTCGTGGTCCCTAAACGGTTTCATTTGGGCTCTGATCGGGAGCATAAAAGGTTGTCAAACCCCCAAAGCCATGTGCAAGACCATCAGGCTCGGGCCGTAGGTCGTCAGGTTGCAGAAGTGGGCCATCATAGAGACCGGTTGCAGTAGCAACCAACTTATCGCCCCGGGTGATGTTCGCCTCGAGCCAGGTAAGCCACCCTTGATTCACCCGGCGAACGATGATAGACAAGGTGTCCCCCGGGACAAAACGCTGATAATGGGAAGTGCTGAGCTTGCGGATGCTGTCCTGAGCGCCGAATGTGACAAATGTTCGATGGCAGAGGAGCTCAACGAGGAGCCAGTGGCCCGCGGCCCGCGGGTCTTTTGGAACCGCGGCCACATCCTGAGCATGAAATGGACTGGTCGATTGAGCCGTGAAAGTTCTTAAAAATTGGTCCTCAAGAGCCGTGAAAGAGCCCGAGCCCACTTCAATACTGGGGATGATATTGGTGGGTGTGATCGGATTTGGCAACGGTGGCGTGGCACAGCATGGGCAGCCCGCCGAGGACGACGAAGATCCCCAAGACGACTCAAACGCGTCGGAAATTATAGGAGTGTCTTGTCTTCGGGGGATAGGCTGTATGAGTGGTGTTTCTGGGTACGTCGCCGGGAAGGACATGATGCGTTTTAAGTAAAAATCACCTGTATCATGTGAGATGGCAAAGGTGAGAGGTAAGATGGAGACGAGGATACTTTCAGTACATATAAGCAAGGGGCCACTGCTGTAGGAAAAAGAGCTTGTGGTAGGTGGCTCGACAGATTTAGGCTGCCATCCTATTGGACGCTCCAGCCGATGAGATGTGAGCACGGTATGCGGAGAAAGATGACTCTATTGTGGGCATGAGTTACTACCCAGGACTCTAATGATACAACATGCTTCAGACAAGACACAAGAAATGGCCAGTTAGTCGGTGACCATGCTAGCACAGGCCCTCTTCCATCAATCCACGCCTTATACTTGGCCCGGTCATTGCTGTATACGGCCTGCAATGCGGTAGACCAGCTTCCACAACAGAGCCATCTTGCGCGGTGATGCTTGGAATGAGGACAGATGCCAACCTAGCCCTTTTACGCCTATTCCTGGATGGACCGTTAATATTGCCCGGCGTACGTAGATGGCGAAGGTCTTACCATAGGACCAACTCGAGTGGTGCTTCTGCAGGCCGACATATCTCGCCATTGTTGTTTGTTTGTATTGGGAGAGGCGGTCTTCGGCGCAATGCTGCGGTGATGCATAGCTTTCTTGCTGTGAGCGGAGGACGGGGGCAGCCTGCCCTGGAGCTTCATCCCTCTCCTGCTCACTGTGCATGTGTGGCAAGCAGACAGAAAGAGAGGGTGTTTCTCTACGCCGTTGTTTCCGGGCCGTCTTCGCAGTCTTCGCCGTATTGCTCCTCAAGTTCGATCCTCTCTTGTTGAGTGGACGGTGCCGCTTGATCCCTTTCCTTAAATTCTGCAACTTTGACCGTATAGCTTCGCCTGATCTAGGCTTGCAGGTAACCGAATATTGGTGGGCTCGCTCTTCCCATGACAGGTTTGAGTGTTGGGCCACCCAACATGGGAGCTTGGCCTCCTCACCCGGGGTCCATGCGCGGTAGCCTCTCTTGCTCATTATGGGGATAAGGTGTCAAAGATACAGGAGATGAGAGAACTGCTGGATAATCAGCTAAATGAACAGCAGTATCACTAACGATGAAAGAGAGGGCCAGGGAAATATACTGTCGGCTTATTTGCGCGGGAAAGAGAGATCGGGCGGTTCAAATAACGCCCTGTGAGAGCAACCACCACCGTGAATGATGATAATGGTAGACTCGTAGTGGGCATTTCCGGTTTGCCCCGACCAATGTCCATTTCCACAAGACCCGATCCCAACATGCTATCCAGAAACGGGCAAAAAGAAGCGAACCAAAAACCAGGCATCATATTGACAGGGGCCTAGACAAGCTGGATATTAGCCACTGCGTGAACAGACCAGTGGCCGACCTGCAGCTCGAATTGCTCTTTGTTCCGTCCGATGATCTGCAAGCACTTGCTCGCTTTGCACCCTCCTTGTTAGGTTGATGGGTAAAAACCTTCGGCCCCGTCGTTTGCTCACTGGACCCTCTATCCACTCGGGCCCGTCCGTACCTGGCTGGATGGGTGTCAGGGAGGGGGCAGGTGGGCCGGTGGGCAACTCAGGGAGACTTCCGCTGAAGGGCTAATCTGTCCTTGATCTACCTCGGCCCACTGGCATACCGTCAGCAAGATGAGGACTTCCCTTACAGCAAACGGGACACCCTGACCTTTGCCCGCCCATGGACCTTTAAAACCCAGCGTTTTACCCTCGATTGCAACCTATAATTTCCTTCCTGATCTGTTGTTTTCTCTCTACCCACTACTGCTATCATGGCGAGACCTTCGCGCGCAAACGCTTCCCAAGCTGTGACCCATGCCAGACGGGTCCAGGTAAACCCAGAAAATGGCCCTTCGCGAACTGCGCGTGCCCTCCAACGGCCATCAACGGTGGGTGCCATGAAATTTGTGGCCTAAATATACTGTATATGATCCAGGCTAATTGCTCATGTTAGGTGGCACAAACACGATCTCCTCGTGGCACCGGAAAGAACTCATCCCCAAATCTGGAAGCTACTCATGCAGAATGCTTCCGGACAATAGAGGAACTTGAACGCGAAAATCAAGACTTGCGGGCGCGACTCCAGGAAGCACAGAACTCTGAGCATTCTGACAGACTGAACGCTATTATGCAGCAGATGCATGGAGCTATCAATAACTGTCAACAGCAACTATGGGACCTGGACGGTGCCTCCGCTCTGCCAGATGCTACTGAACTTGGCAATATGTGGACAAACCAGGAGGGTATGGGTGACATGGAGGATCCGAATTTATCAACCGAAGATATGATGAACTTAACCACACTGTAATTAATTTTCATGTTCACCTGAAATACCTATCGTCTACAACTGCGGGGGTATCCAGTTGGGTTTATCTAACGGCTGGGTCATGACTTTAGACATAAGGCGATACAGCCGTTGTAAGGGGGTGGCGGAACCTGCAAGGGGAATAGGACAGAGGGAATGGCATGGGAATTCGCTGCCTTGTCTAACCTCTCAAGCCAACAGAGTCGCTCGTAAGAAGTGAGTAAAAACCGAACCTGTCCTGCTCCCGTGCTCCCCGTGCTCCCCGAACCACTTATGTGGGTCAACGCTGGGGATTATGCCATCGACAAACCTGCCTTTTATGTGTCTCTCTGATTGCGTTTCTCTTTGCCCAAAGAATCCAGAGCACTGGACTGTCTGCAACCTGTGGCTGGCAGATGGCTTCCCTCGATGGGGCCCTATCCGGGCAATGAATGCTACTAAAACCTTCCGCTTGTACCCGCTACACATCATAGATTTAACCACCGCTAGAATAGTCGCTACTCTCTCCTCTGGCTGATTGTGACAATAGGGTGTTGTTACACATGTGCGAAAAGCCGTGTAAATGAGCGCACACTAGGCGGGCTCAGCTTGTGTTCGCCGAATGGATTATTGATGGGTCGAGATTGCGAGGGTGTGACGCTGAGTGGTTCCGCAGCTGTCTCGCAACGACGCGCTAGCGCGTCAGCTCCTGGGCCCAGAACACCTCTCGACTGCTTTGAGCCAGATCGAACCAGGCAAAAGATTGCGAGGCTGGTTTATCCATAGGGGCTCTGAATAAGCTGTTTCGAAGACCCTGATACTGCTAAATTTATCTAGATATCTACCAGCTCAATGAGTTACAAAGCAACAAGCTTCCTGATAAGCGAGGGTGTCGAATTTAGCTCATGCGATGGATTCTCTCGTATGCAGCGCTTGGCTCTGCCGACACACGGGCAATAAAGGCGCAGACAGCGGTGCCAGGCTCGGCTTTGGCACTAGATCGAACCCCATTGATCTGATGAGATAAGGTCCTGCGCGGGACACGGGATACCTATCATGCGCGCATGATGGGCATGGAAAATGGACGGTGATCAACCACAGCCGGGTTTCTCGGGTATGTGTCGCTGTAAAAGGAATTTGGGCGGACAGATCATCCTCAATGGGTTTTTTCCAAGGACAAAGCCCGACACCAGCCCATCACTGGCTGGGTGTGTGCAAGCTAGCAGCGAGAGTTCAACGGCTCGTCCCGGTAAATCGGAGCCGAAATTAAATGGTCGTTACCCGGACGGATGAAAAATAAAATTCGCATTCCCATTGGCTTTGAATCTCCGACCTAAAACGTCCAACAGTCGCTGGGCAAAGGTAATATGGCAGGTTCCGGCCGTTCTGAATGGGTCCAACTGAGCGGCCCCCAATTGATATCCATAGGCCGACGTCTATTACCCGTCCCGCGCGTCGCGACCATTTCTGCGCCGGTCGTCTTGCCCGCCCTACGACTTCCTTTGTCCGTTATCAATTATGATTGGTATTCTGGCCGAGCAATTTGATGCCATCTATATCATATCATTCACGCCGTCCTGATGCGTCCTTTTGATGCGGCCATTTATTCCTGCTTGGGCCCCAAAGCGGCTAAGTGGGGAAAATAGAAGCCCCTGACTATATATTTACCCGCCAATGTGGCGCCGTTCTCAAGGGGATGTTTTGATGCGTGCTCTAAGGGTCAAACGGTCATCTCGGCCCATGCCCTCTCAGTATACGTGCGCCGCTGGGTTACCGGGTGGTTGAGATCGGAAGCGAAAGCCTTACCTACAGGGCAGATGCGAGAATCGGTGCCACAGCTCCAGACGCTGAGCAATACGAACCATGGTTTTCGGTGGGGTGACCGAGCCCATAGGAGTAAATAACCCGCATGGTAAGACGTCGGTCTATCTGGCTAGTCACGTTCAGTGGGCGCTTATTGGGAGGAGAGGGGACCAACTTGGCAGAAAGTTCTGTTTAATGCAAATCACTTTAACCCTGAACGACACCTACGTCTTTCGGCCTGTCCGGGCTCCACTCGAGGTCGTTCTAGGGCCACGCAACTTTGCAATGTTCCTCGTGTCGCATACGTACTTGAATTTCTAGCCAGGTCGACAGCTTTCCCTTTCCGTTTTAGTGCTCACCCTTCGCTGCTTTTTGCTCACTGAGTAGTCCTGAGCACGCCCTAAGCAGCCTGAGACGGTCACTGAGCACGGGATGAACGGAAGACTGAGTGCCCTGAGCAAGTAACCTCAATAAAATGCACACATACATCCCGCATTTGATGCATGTATTTCATCTTACATTGTTTGGTGCAGAAGATTGGCGGAGCTGCTGGCCTTGCCTCACCGATATTCTTTTTTTTCTTCGTCTGCTCGTACAGCGTAAAAAGGAAGGAGTCATATATGCGCCATGTTGGCAAATCTCTCGTAGAAGAGGCTAAATTCAAGATAACGAAACAATGATACTGGGTGGGAGGGGCCCATTTTCGGGTGATCTTCACGACCTCACTCCTTTGGTTGCCCTATGGCTTCGATGGAACTCAACCATTCACGGATTTAAGCTGTGAAGCTGTGAATTGCCCATCTGACGACAAGAAATCACAGGGAAGGTAAAACAGCAGTCCACCCAGGCTGCTCAAGGCTGGTTTGGTCGATTTCCCGTACCCTTGTTGGCCTTTCCAGATCTTGAACCCAGGTCACGAGTTCATGTCACCATCCGTCCCGTTGGTCAATTGTGCAATTGCTAGAACTACATTTTTGAACCTGTGATCCTGAAAATCTTTAACAACGTGGTATGGCAAGAAATGGTCTTTTAAGGCGGAAATTTGGGTAGTTGAGAAATCACTCGATACTCAAGCAGGCCGACCAGACCATCTGGGCATGGCATGGCTTAATGAGATTGATCTACATTCATATGCCAGAAGGGCATTCTAGCCTAGTGGTGAAGTCTGCAGTCTCCATATATCAGCAGAATATCGTTAAACCTAACGCCTATATTTACGCAATTAAACAATAAGCTAAAAAAAAGGCCTCAACACAATTTCCGAGAGACTTGTCAAGAAATTTATATGATCTCTAGCTACTGCAGACACAATTGTTATATCTTATCAATTAAGTTATATAAAATCTTTTCTTACATCTCTTCTCATCTTAGCATCAATTCAACATTAATCAATTTTCCAGCTCAAAATGATTCAACGCACAATTATTTGCCAATTCAATCAAGCAACATATTATCAGTCTTTACACTGCGACACGCAACAAGCAACCTTATTCCCAAACCCGAATCTGGCTCATATTCCGACGTTATAGATAAGTCTTCCCATGTGAGATCGAAACATTAACGTTAATAATTCAGCTTTATCCCAAGAACTCCGCAATTAATCCTTCGCAACAGCTTCTACAATTGCTGCTTGATAAATATAGATCCCAATTTCGACCGCATCGTTTGAAACAAAAAGTGGAGACAAATCTGCGATTAACTCCCCAGCAACAAATATGTTACTAGAACGGCAAGCTATTCGGTGGCTACCCGATCCTGCTGCTTGATCAGATTCTAGCAGACTACTGTCGACCAGCGATCACTGCCTATCTCAATACTCCTTTCAGACAATCAGTCCCGCCGCATATTCCGATCCGCTTGCGCACCTAGTCGTATAAAATAAAAAGTCGTAAAATCTACCTTTATAGCACTGTCAATATTCCCCGCGACAATAGACAAAAGATAACTCCAGCTATCCTCGTGAAAGTTCTATTTATACAGCCTAAACCGTAGGGATAGGACTCAAAGGATGGTAACTGGCCATGATCAAAGCATTGTTAGATATTCTGCCCGCGGCAGATAATCCCTCCAGATTTACGTGCTCTCTATCTTTACTGTACTAGATGTGGAGGATATATTACCGCAGTGCTAGAATATTTGAACCATAGACGAAGAAAGACAGGCTTAATGTAAACATGAATGACATGTCTCAAGCCTCAGGGTCCATATTCACTGTCGAATATAATATATAAGATGGAGAAAATGCCCAGCGTATGAAAGCTTCGAGGGCATCAGCTATGATCTCGTTAGCGTCACAGGTCCGCGTTTTAAGCACTGTGTCCGGACTTACCAATACCTAAGAGCTCTCGGAGAAATCGTCGCTGTGGAGGCTAAGCAAAACACATAAGGCACTAGGCAACGGACTAGTGAGCTTAGCTTAAGCGAGGCCTAAACGGCCCCCACGAGGCGAGAACCTCCAGTACACACTCCTACCACCTAGGAGGTAAAGAGCGCCATATAAATATGTCCTCCAAGGTCAGCTACGATGCAAGGGCAGACTGTTTTCACGCTCTGCTGCTCTCGGCCGCCATACCAGAATGGATTCCATTAATAAGGCTCTTTATCGCGATAGCGCGATCCTCATCTTGATGATCTTATCTTTAGCTGATTAAAGGGCATAAACAATACAAAACAAATAATGAGATATTTAATAGAAATCAATATCATATGAACATAATATTTTTCGAATAAAGACAGAGTGGACTTATCATATAGAAGCTCTATAGAGCTTTTTATTGTTGCCATCTGTAAGCTAAGGATACCACGGTTCGACTTTTAGTAAACCATGGCATCTGGTACAAAACACACTGCAGGGGTTTCTCGCAGAACAGTTTGATACTATTATTAATGTGGTAGTGCATCCTATATATAAATATATTCTAATTAGATAGTCATAACAGCTATAAACTACTTACTTTATTAACTAAGTAAAGGTGCAGCAGAGCCCTAAAAGTAGATAGAGTGGGATGTCATTTATTTATATTACTTTATATAATTACTGGTCATTTTGCTTTTGAAGAATAGGTGCTAATTATATACTAATTCTTAATTATTACAATATCGGTGAAGTTTACAGACTTAAGCGTGGGATCTTCCTATCTCTTGCTTTTAACCTTTACTAACTAATAATCAAAGCTCCTAGTTATTGCTGTAGATGATCCTAGGATAACTACTCTATACCCCACGTTGCACGTCCAGTCAGAAGCCCTATAGATAAGGTAGACTTCTGTCCTCTATATGCTCTCTTTCTAATTCACACAGTCATATTCACTGCTGATAAAGGCTGAGGATGCTGATATCTCTGTCTCTGCACTTATAGAGGCAGCTACAAGCAAAAAGTTTTTAATATAAAACCTTTAGAGCCAAATTTCTCGCCTTAACTCACATCACTTATCCCTGGCAAGTAAATGCAGACTCAGGATAGACTTAGCAGTAAATGCTACCACTAAAGAGCGGGCATCACAGGGCCTTAGAATAGTCGCTTATACATTATTTTATACATAGAAACTCTTTTAAGTAGCGCTGAAATAGGTTGAGAGGGTGAATTAACTGCTTCTCCTCTAGAGCCCACATCAAACTTTACCACTGCAGGGCGTTCTCCGATGTTCCAATTTTCCTTGACAAGCGTTGTGACCTTAGTTCTATCAGAGCCACTGGCCATCGGTGAAGTCCAGCGGGTCGTCCAGAATCAACGTTCCCATTCACACAGGATGGGTCCTTAATCACATGTCTAAAGTATTCCCTCGCTGTATCACGGGCATTTCAAAATCTACTATAGATTGCTTCGTCCCTGCACTACGACGGTACTTCGGGCGTCCGCCCAGACATAACAGGAGAAGAGTTCGGTGTTGTCGTTTTTAACACCTTATAGATAGATACACATCACTTTTCCATACTTTATATGCGTGGGTATTCAGGCTTACTATTCAATATGTATATTAACTCATAGAATCCAGCGGCGTTGTCATCCAAGCGCCTTTCAACTTACTACCCTATACTAAGCCATCCCAATCCCTTAACAGAAAGAGAAAATGCCAAAAGGATTCTACATAAAATCAAGAGAAGTGCTAGATGCATTACTACATATATAAAGATTAGCTCGGTCTTTGAAGGAGTGGGTCCTACCATTCAGGATCTAAATATTGTTCATCAGACCTTATTCACCAGGACCTCTGGTGGTACGATAGATCCATAACCTCAATCAGTAACCTCGAACCATATATTCTAAGCCCATATATAGAAGATCACAGTCTTATATGACAATAATGTAGTACATATTTAGCTGGGCTCCAGCCCTTCAATGAAATTAAAGCGTGGATATTGCTGCTTCCCCCCCAACTTTAACCAGATAATTGTATCTAGATGATGTATTTTGGGGAAACAGGCCCACCGACGTTCAATATTTATTCTATTCCAGAGCCCAACGTCGGGGCCCTATGCCATAGATAATTGAATATAAGACCGATAACTTGTACGGCTATGGGCCAATGAGTCCGGGACGTGGTCATGGGAGATCAAGACAATGACTGTTTATCGCAAAGTCTGCAAAAAATTCTGGCAACACATATTACAATGTCAAACGAGCCAATAATTAGTTAAACGCATTTCTAACTGGTAATTGGTCGAGCAAGGACAATGTCTATCAAGCAGGGTCTGATGTGCGCTTGTACGCGCAGCCAAGCTGCATATAGTGCTGGATTTATAGGGATGGTATCCTGAGCTTCCTGAATCTCGTTCTCGCGCCGGGATCGCCCTAGGCCTTCCTGAATAGACAAGCTCTCTGTTATAACTGCCTGCCTAATAGATTTCTTACGCTTTCGCTTTCCCATTCATTATTAGCGCGATTTTGCGTATTTCTTCAAGCGCAATATAAGGCTCATAAACGTCATGACCTTCAAAAGTCCTGTCTAATCGCACCTCCAGCAAAGTTAAGGGTTGTGGGCGCGTTATGCAGCTGTTTGCTTTTCCAGGTTGTGGCGCTCTTAGCTGGCCGCTAACTGCCGTAGTCGGTGTTTGATATCGGAGTTCGAAAGAGGAACAAGCACGTCTCGAAATCCTGCAGTTAAAAAGAATGGTATTCGTATCCAGCCTAAGTGGTCTTTCGATGAAATCAACGGTCTCAAGAAGGAGGAAAGAGGAAAAGAAACATTTAGTAGGACCAAAGGATACCCACCAATCGTGCAATTACTTGTAGGAGGTAGGACATGCTGTTCGCTCATACGTTATCACGCCAATGATTCATCACCCTCCTCCTATTGATGCCTGGTCGGCCGGTTAACCACCTTACCCTGGAAAAAAAGGGATAATAGAATGGCTACATCATGCAGTTAGCGAAGGCCACAGGCATCATGGTGATCACCACAGTCTCTTCGAATGAAAAGGCGAAGAAGTTCAAATAGCCAGTAGCTGACCATGTTATTAACTACTGGACCACTACCCTCGCGATCATACTTGGCTTCCGCAATTCTCAGCAAGTGACAAAAATGGGCATCAATAATTTAATCAAAAATAAATGTTGATGAGTCTAGTCACTCGTGAATCCCTCAGCTCGGGGATCCCCAATACCGTGTCAAAAACTCGCCTAATGTGGTAAGCTTGAGATCCGGAAGTAGCTTGTTCCATTCGTCAGAAACATCCCATGCTCCTTGTAGGCCCCCCTTCATTATCTCTGCGATCACTTGCTCGGAGAATACTGCCCAATCCATGTCAAAGTTCAGGTGTGGGAACTCTGGAAGCATAGGGATCCAGGATGTTGCCAACTTTCCCGCCTCGATATTTTCTTTGGAAACCCGCTCGACGACAAAAGGTCCTAAGAGGAGTTAATATTGCTCTCCCAAGTGTTGGCATGGCGTCCTACCTCTGATGGACTCTGCGATGCGTATGATCTCGGAGCTTGTTGTTGATGACCCAGTAATACCACCGACCACTGGCCACTCACCTTCAAAACCAAGCGCCTCATCCACGACCCTTGCCAAGTCCTGAATAGTGGTCAATGTGAGCCGGTAGTCACTGTCAGCTGGAACAATCGCGCGCCGGTTCGCAATATCCCACATGTTTGTGTAAATGGCATGATGGGTGGTCGAAGGTTTGGGAGAGCTGAGGTAGTTCATGAACAGGCCTGGCTGGAATAGGCAGTATTCAATAACCTAACCATTCTCATTAGTCGCCAGCGTCGACAGCTCGAAATGACGCCTTGCCTTTTTCTCCCGATTCACTTTCTGGAGGTGCGCGTGGACAATATCTTTGTCAGCGTACTGGAAAATACCCGCATTGCAGCGCCTAAAAAATATCAGCACATGCCGCCCGATCTTCCGATTTGACTCACGCGGCCCATTCGTTGGGTGCAAAGCGTCTAACGCCAGCTTCGATGCAGCAGTCAATTAAGCTTATCTGCAAGGATGCGTCCCAAATGAAGCATAGGACGGTGTGGACACGATCTAAGTTCTTCTTCAGATCTTCTTTGTTGTTGTAATCGACCTGTACGAACTGGACACCTTTCATGGAGTGCTTGGTAGGGTCCTAACTTTGTTACCACGAAGTTGTCCTTGTTGGAAGATGGTAAGCGGATGTTCGACGAACCGAACGTGTGAACACAACGATCTCATGTTTGCCGGATTCACCCAAAATAGAGACGATTTCCTTGGACACATCTTATGGCCATTGCTATTAGAATATGAACGATCTGTATCCCGATGGGATGGCATACTTCCTGTGCCCCCTGCCACTGCAACACGGACCATTTTTTCGCCAAACCTAATGCAACAAGTCGAATGAAGATGCAATTGAGTGAACTCTACGAGCGAAAAAGAACTGTTTATATGTCAAGAGAGAGGCTGTCGAAGAGATTCCTCTCTCATCTCGGAAGCGGATAGGCTTCGTTCCGGACGCATCCCGGTTTCCGTGCAAAACGGGGTCGGCTTCGGAAGCGGCTCCTTGCCGTCTGACTGTTGGTGGAGAGGGCTCCGCCGGGGGCGGCGGGGGAGCGTGCTGGTTCTTCACACCTAACAGGATCACCCTAACCTGGTAACTGTCGGCCAACTCGGCAAATTCTCCTACTGTATTGGACATCAGATCAAATATGTCGGCCTGCTATAATGATGCAACGTCACTTGTCCCATGCAGACAATGATAAGATGCGAGGATCTGTGCGTGGAGCACCCTGCGGCTTTATCGAAAAATCAGAGACCCAGAGGGGTCGACAGCCGAGCTCCTGGATGTCTAGTGAGACCTCACATCATAGAGTAGCTGAGTAATATATTGGTGAAGCCAATGCCTATGCCACGTCTTGAGGCATATTAGCGCATTTCTGAGATCTGGATCGTCAATACCTCACTGCGCTGTATTCTCCTAACCAATAGTTCAGACTTCCCACAAATTCGCCAGGTCTCAGTTATGATAATAGTCGAGTATTTCATGATTTTCCTAGGCAATAACTCTGAACTTTATTTACTCAGACCCGGAACATTAACACGGAACAGGTTCCTGTATTTTGTATATCGACTAAGAGCGATCAAACGTTCAGAGGAAACGAAAAAGGGAGATATGCAAGAAAGCTACAAATTGGTTACTTGACCTCCATGCTTTCATCCATACATCTTCAACCCAAGAGTTCCGAGGCGATCAAGTCGTAAGAGTTTAGGCTAACTGATTTTCATGGGCCTGTTGCTATGATTCACCCATTGCCGGTGAGATGCCTCACGGCTTGATCATCCCTGTAACCTGGTTTGCGCCCTCAATTGGCTTCAAATAAGCCACACGTCTTTCAATGAAAGCCTCAGCGTCGATATTTCCGGTGGTCAAGTTCGCTGCACCCCCATCCAGTGACCCAGCTTTGATAGACATCATCTCCGGCATTGAATCCGGTTGACCATAGAGGGATGATCCGCAATCGCCGCAGAAAAAGGTACTGTAAGGAAATCCAGAGTCCGCAGTATACTTTCCAGATTTAGGCGTACCTTCTTGAAGTCAGGAGTGGAATAATGGTGCTATCACAAAGGGGGGTCCTACCACTCAGGATCTTGAAGGATGATCTTGGAATAATGAAGTTGGTAGTGAATGCCGATCCACTGAACTGTCGTTCCGTTAGAACTTGATCGAAAAAATAGATTTGAGAGGATGTAAGAGTGATATTCCTACTTTCTGGCAATGCTGACAATGACACACTGCCTTCACAGCAGGTTCAGCTGATAGACCAAACATTTAGCATTGCTTAATATAGTCTCCGGGAAATATTCCTACCATTAGCCTCATATTTAATGAGACCACACATGCAGCTCCCGGTGAGGACCATTTTGAAGTTGAGTGATATTTAACGGGAAGTATGAACTCAAGACGGATTATAGATATGAATCCATAGCAAGGATATCGTGCACCTTTATATAGGTCTTGTCTTTTGTCCCTCGCATTATAAAGCGATCACATATGCTCCGCATGGTGGCAATGGTTGTGGCGACTCCTTCGGCGAATGGTCATCGGACGTTTCAAGAGTGGTTCAGATGGTAATTACGGGGAATGTTACAGTCGGTCTGGGCTGGATACCTGTAAAAATATATGATTCGTAGAAAGGTGCTATGTAATTGCCTTCTTGCCGCATCGTCGATGCTTGTGTGTGGAAGTGCCTTTTGTCTTACACAAAACAGTAGAGCGGAAGAGACGATTGACATCAACACACGTCTTGCATGTAAGCGTCATCTTTAATTCCAGTGTGACGAAGATGACTTCGGTTCGATCGTCGGCGTTTGATCCGTCGGTGGAGTCCAAGTAGATCAACTAGCAGGTCGGAACAACCCACCCCGGATTGGTCAGGATTACGAATGCGCCATTCAGGACTCCTCGAATTATTCTTCGACGAACCTTCTCAACTGTAATTCTGGACTCCTGCATCGTATGTCCCGACCAGTCTCGATGTTTGCGTTGTCCGATATTTCGGTGTTTGTTTGCCTGATGACAAATGCCGAGTGAAGAATGTACGACGTCATGACTTAGAGATTTTGAAGTCGATCACCGTGGTTTTATCCGCTCCACACTATATAAAGGATGAGATTCCTATGTCGAATTATCTGTAACAGCTACTGCAACATTTATCACCAGACCTCACAAGACCAAAACTTAATCCAATGTCTACCGTCATGATGAAGCAATGGGTCATTGACCACCCAGAGAAAGACATGGGGGGGATGGATTTGAAAGAAGCGCCTCTTCCGACGGTTGGTACCAATGAAGTCATGGTGAAGTTTGAGGCCGTCGCCCTCAACTACCGCGACTGTGCTATTGCTAAGGTAAGATGTAATGGACAGAGCACCATTTGAACCAAGACATTGTTAATGAAGCTGACTGAACTGTAGGGTACCTTCCCTTTTGCTCACAAATACCCCATCGTTCCCGTGTCCGATGGTGCTGGCGTGGTCGTCGAGGTTGGTGGTAAGGTCCGAGAGTTCAAGAAGGGGGACTCGGTCATTACCATCTTCAACCAGGGGCATCAGTATGGTGACATCGATCCATACGCTGCCTCGACTGGCGTCGGAGGTACGATAGACGGGTGTTTCCGCAAGTTCGGCGTGTTCAACGAAACGGGGCTGGTGAAAGCCCCAAAGAATCTCACTCCGTTGGAAAGCAGCACCTTGCCTGGTGCAGCCCTCACCAGCTGGAACGCACTATATGGGCTGAAACCAGTCAAGGCAGGCCAATGGGTTCTCGTTCAAGGAACTGGGGGTGTTAGCATTTCTGGTTTACAGGTATGTCTCCACTGCAATGCCGATCAACGGGCATAAAGCGTGTACTATTGAACACGGATAACTCCTTGGTGCGCAAGGGTGAAGTTAACAAATTTGCTCCTTTAGTTAGCCAAAGCTGCGGGTGCTAGTGTTATCGCCACTACTTCATCGGATGCAAAGGCCGAAGAGCTGAAGAAGCTCGGCGCCGATCACATCATCAATTACCGGACTGTCCCGAACTGGGGTGAGGTAGCGCGAAGCCTTACTCCCGACCACGCCGGAGTTGACCATATTTTGGATATCGGCGGCACGGAGACATTAGAGCAGAGCCTAAATTGTATCAAGATGGAAGGCATTATCAACTTGATTGGATTTTTGGGCGCAAGTGAAAAGCCTCAGCCTGGACTTCTAGATGCTTTGAGCCACATCTGCACGATCCGGGGTCTCTATGTCGGGAGCCGTGCTATGCTTCAAGACATGGTTCAGGCTTTTGAGAGCAATGACATCCACCCGGTGATTGATCGTCAGGTCTTCCAGTTTGAACAGGGCAAAGAAGCCTTCGAATACTTGGTATGGTGTCAACGATGTGAGCACACGGACTTATGCTAATTATATTCCCGTACAGGCCGCCCAGAGACACTTCGGCAAAGTCGTCGTTCAAATCAATCACAGCGATTAAATCGAACTACAGCCGACACCATGCATATGCATTGATCGCAGTGATGGAACAGAAGAGGATCAACGATCGACATAGGACCTATGCGGCTGTCTATCCAGAATCAGATCTTGGGTGTCTTTTGTGAAATAAATCATAGATGTGGCTTTATCAAATGGAAAATTATCTTCGAATTCATTTCATGAAGATACAAAATAGCTGAACATAGGAGGACTTGCTCAGCATCATTTGAGCGCCTTTAAATGTTGCCTGTGGCTGGGAGCACGGGCATATAGATCCGCCCTGAATAGTTGTTAACGGTCAGGCGAGAAATTTCATTGGCCCGAAAAGATCATCTGGTGAAACGTAGAACTTTGGCGAGTCTCGACTATCACGATGTGCATATTACCAACGAGAGCACTGGAATACATCCAGTCGCTCTTATGTACAGGGTTTGAGATCCAAGAGGAGAAGTGTATCATTCATTAGTCATGACTGCCGCACGCAGAATAGTTATAGCCCAAGATATGAGCACTAGATATTGAATCAGACTCCAGCGACATAGCATGTACCTAGCTCGCCTCCGAGTTTGCTTTCATGAATTGCAATCGAGAACTATCAGCCAAATCTCCACTCGTGATCTAGGAGGACTGTAGAATAAGGACAGGCCCCTACAGATCCATCATACCCAGGAGGGCTGGTACGACCAACAATGCGAAGGATGCATTGTGGCTGTGAAAGGTGGGAAGCCGCAATCCCAGAATATCGTCCCAGTGCGATTGTAAGGGAAATTCGCTGTATTGATTAACGATGATCAGCAACAAGCGCAAAAATTTTTACCGGATCATAGAGCTCTCTCAATTGTTGTTACGAGGGTGGTGAAAGAGAGAATATCGAACGGTATACAGGCTGAGATTGGGCTAATCTGTGTGGGGTCGTGCGGAACGGTTAAGCCATCGTTCAGTTGTCATCATCCTCAAAGATCTTGTAAATTGCGAACCTTTCGGTCAACCGGTGTTGATTCGTAAATTGTCGGCAGTGGAAAAGCTCAAGTAGCTTGTTGAACCTTTCTGTCGAGCTCTGTAAATCATTGTGGAACAGTCTATCTCCGAACCAGTCCAATACTTGATTTCGGCACCAACGGAGCTAACAGTGAAGTCCAGAGTGACTGGAGTGACGGTATACTTGGAAGTGGTCTCCACGGAGGACTACGGAGTAGGGTGCAATGCAGCCTGGTGGCTGGCTGGTCGGCTGGGTTCCAAGGGACCAAGCTCGGTAAATGAATAGGTTTCAGAGGCCGAGCGGCCCCACATGGTTACTCTCGTAGCAGCCGGACACGGGTCGTATATTTTCCATGATAGAATTAATTAACATAACCGCAGGGCTCTACATAGGGTACCGCCCAGGTAGCGAACATAAAGATAGGTATTCGTTATTATATATACAACTTTCTGACGTCGAGTCTTCGACGTAGATAGTTTTGTATCAGAGTAACTTATTACTGTTTATTTCCTGAGGATGTGGCACTTGTCCGACGCCTACACAGCTCGCCATGTAACACCCGGGATACCCTCATAGTTTGAGACGGTATCGCACAATTCCCCACCTATACACTTTCTTTCTCAAACCTTCGTGCTAACAGGCACTATCCCTTATATGGACGGTCGTGTGAAGCGGTAAAATTTTAGTTGGCCGAAAACAGCGAGAGCTGTGGGGCCTCTTCGTTTTGGCATAAAAGTTTGGGATATCCGTGGCCTTCGGGATCCTGCGGACCACCTACCGCCGAGGAGGAAAGTCTGCAAGCGATAAAGCGACTTTCTGAGAAGTCTGTACAAGATTTTCGGAAGACTTTGAACGGGCTCGGCCTTGGACCTTTCAGACGCCGATCGGACCAGACCACCACGGCGGATCGATTCGCCACAAACCAATTCTCCTCTGCAGGGTTACTATTGGAAATGCACGAGTACGACGACCGTACTGGGTTACAGTGACCTTGCTGACTAGGCAGAAGTGCTTTGGAGCACTTGGAACATAATAGCAAATGCCGACGAAGAATTCTGCAAATATGCGCGGTCAGCACCTGTACAAAATTCACTCGTGCGCAGCCTGTAATAATCGGAAATTCCTCTTAGCGAACGCACTCTCCAGGCGCACTCAAGTTTCTAAGGAATTCCTTTATTGCCTACATCTAACCACTACACGACCATGCCTGCAACGAAACTTTACGAGGGGATCAAGGTTGGGCGCATGAACCTGTCCCATCGCATGGCCATGGCGCCTATGACCCGTTTTCGGGCAGATGACGCGCATATTCCTTTACCTATGGTCAAGGAATACTATGAGCAGCGCGCAGCTGTTCCTGGTACTTTGATCATCACCGAAGCGACCTTCATATCCCCACAGGCTGGCGGTTTCACCAATGTCCCTGGCATTTACAGCCAGGCGCAGATAGACGCATGGCGGCAAGTGACCGATGCTGTACATGCGAGAGGCTCATATATATACCTGCAGCTCTGGGCTTTGGGACGTGCAGCTGATGCTACAGTCCTCAGCGCTCAAGGTCACAACCTCGTGTCTAGCAGCGCGTCGCAATTGAGCAGTGATTCTCCGACTCCAAGGGCGCTGACCGAGGCCGAGATCCAACAATACATCGACGACTACGCCAAAGCCGCTGAGAATGCTATCGCTGCAGGCTTCGACGGCGTCGAAATTCATGGGACCAACGGGTTTCTTATCGATCAGTTCATACAGGATACCTGCAACAAGCGCAAAGATGCGTGGGGTGGAAGTGTTGAGGGCCGCGCAAGATTTGCGCTGGAGGTGACACGTGCCATTGTTGGCACCATCGGAGCCGACAGGACCGCTATCCGTCTGGGACCGTGGAGCAAATTCCTGGGCATGCGCATGGATGATCCCATCCCACAATTCACCTACCTGGCAAAGAAGCTGGCCGAATTCAAGCTGGCCTACTTACACTTAGTAGAGTCTCGGATCTCGGGCGACGCTGACGTCCAGTCAGCCGAAGAACTGGAGTTCTTGATCCATGCCTACGGCCATGCGAGTCCAGTCGTCATCGCGGGCGGTTACAATGCTGACTCGGCCCGGCAAGCTGTCGACCTGCAGTACAAGGATCAAGAAATCATCATTGCCTTTGGCAGACCGTTCACTTCAAACCCTGATTTACCATTCAGGATTATCGCTGGCATGGACCTGCGCCCTCATGATCGGGGTGGCTTTTACTTGCGTCAGGAAAGTCAGGGTTACATAGACTACGACTTTAGCGAAGAATTCAAAGCCCTTTGTGGCTTTTGAATCGAGTACTCAATCGTCAATTCCTACGTCTTATCGACCCATCGCACCTGGAAGTTGCCCTGGACTCGTCGACTGGAACCAGCAAGATCTCTCAGCGAAACCGCCAAACTTCGCATGAAAGGAGTCTACTAAACACATTGTCGGCTCTCAGTCAGTCGTGTTAATCAAGTTTGTTCTGCCGTCTTGCCTGTATATACTACTCAAAAACGCGTTTCTCTTCTGAGTTGCACAATTCTATCTTACCGATTGCGAAAGTTTTGGCCACAGCGATGCTGTAAACAAGGTCTTACACGCAAGACAAAATAAGAACAGCTTAAACAGTTGTGCCCTTGTTATCCAGCTATCGCAGATACCAATGTCGGCTCCAAGTCTAATTGCTACAATCGCGCACCAGGGTTCCAAATATACTGGCGGTGAATTGTTCCCGCTTTTGGTAGCCCATATATGGCCGTTAAAAGACCACCGTAATTCCAACAAATCTGAATTCACGCGTGTCAGCGAAAGAAGGCAGCATGGAGTGCACCTTCAATATCAGCCCTCATGCCGTCAACTCCTTCGAATGTCGAACTTTGGAAAAGAGTCATTCTTAGCGATTCTACGGCATGTCTAATTTCCTCCACGAGTCTTTCGGAATCCTGTACCTCAGTGCCCGGTGTAGGTTGGTTTAATAAATGGTAGCAGGTCGACAGTCGGTCGGATGCGCTTGACGCTCGAACTTTGTAGAGGATCATCAATAAAGCATAGCAGCTTTGCATTGCACAGCAGGCGAAATAAGGAAGCATGCGAGGACGACGGCGAAAGCGTGAACCTGAGTGTTTGTCTCTCTCAGAAGGCACCGCATCTCCTGTCGATTGATCTGACTCGGTCGGGCCTGGAAGGGGCAGAGGCAGACTGTTAAATGATCTAGCTATGACAAGAGCGGAGTTGAGGCACACAGAAGAAGACTGCTCTTCGGTGAAGGGGAAAACTTTCTCCAATGCCGTGATCCGGCTAATGGAACGGCTAAGCGTCGAAGACGGATCAGACCCGTCTATTGACGCAAGACCACAGTGCTTCTGCAGGAAGACTGGAGCATCTAGGAAAGCGTTGAGACGATGTAATCTTATCCGCGCACTGTGAAAGTCAGCTCTACTATTTCTATTCAACAGGAGATCGGGAGACATTACGTGTGTATCAAGATACGAGCGATGATCCAGATGCCCTCGGCGGCAGCAGCTTCGGCATCCTGTCGGTTCATCATAGGGAGCGGGCGGTCTGATTCGATCACCAGTGACTGTATGACTGCGTCTAGGTCGTTGAAGTTCCTTTCGGCCATTGGAACGCGTAGTCCTTTGGGACCGACTTCAAAGTCTTTCAACATCTCTGTTGAAGAAAAGAGCGCCTGTTGTGCTTTCAAAATCAACGACCAAGGCTACATAAGTTAATTACCCTCCCAAACAAGGGCGGGATGGCAAGCGGCAAACCTCATAGGGTACATCGAATTCGGGATATCGTGTGCCTATCCTGGGATCGTTGATCGAAACAATCGGTGGCTGGCACGTCATTTGGTTAGGAAAGGGCCATCCCACTGTTGCTGGTCAAGGAGTAACTTACTGAGACATTCAAAATAGAGGAGAGATAGCCCATATACATCTAAATTTCGCGTCAGAGTAACGAAAAGCATTTGGATCCGGGACAAGTACCGCCATCCACCATGTACGCCTTTGAGACTCTGGAGTCTCAACACCTTCCTTCGGTAGATCATGTAGCGACATGTCCATTGCTGTAGTAATCGCCTGGTTTGCTCGAAGGCGCATCTTAGGAATGTTACCGCGCTGGCAATACTCGTATGTGCATAGGGTGACAAGTGCCAGAATAGGCTCAAGGTCCAATTGCACGTTCGGATGAAACTGTTGCCGCGCACCCTGTGCGTGATTGGTTGTTGAGTCGCTTGCTTCTGGCGTTAATCCATGCAGTTCAATATCTCTATCGACACTTTCAAGAGCAGAGTTCGCGTAGGTCTCGGCATAGGCTCGTCGCTTGGCCGTATTGGACAAAACATCCATATCCCCGGGGGGTGGGATAAGCACGAGTATTGCGCTTAGTGCCAGACTAAGAGGTGATATCGGCCAGTACGGCACGACTTGCTCTCCAGGCGTGCAGTTCTCACTTTGGAGCTGTAAAATTACCGGCCGATCCTCATATGGCAGTGACGCGGGCGGGGGCAAAAGTGGGAGGTATGGATGAATAAAGGCGTAATACGCGTTAAGGCTGTCCAAAACGATAGGAAGAAATTCAGCCATGTCTGTTACTTTCCGTAAATCACCACCTCACTTACATATCAGCCTCATTTTCGTACGCTCGCAGTGTTAGAACGGTGGACTTTTCAAAACCGGCTGTTCCGTGGTTCGACTGTTGCTCATTCGGGGAGTGCCCGCCCCAGCAATCGCATTTGCCCCCAGTCTCTGAGAGAAAGCTCGGCGCGTTGTCAGACGCGTGTGTCCCACTGAACGGGTTAACGCTCTCGGTGACGTTCAAGAGATGTGTAGCTATTACTCGTCGGTCAGCGCCGGGTAAGGACATTCAAACCTCCCACCTTACCTGAGCAATCAGCCAGATTTTTTGGCGTCTGTGTAAGCCGGGAGTTCTCAGAGTTCGCCATGCGCTTCGAATTTTCGTATCTGGCACCCCGCCGTGGTCCACCTCTTCGACTGGCTCGGTACTTGCACTCTCTGCGCCTGCTGCGGCACTACACGAAGGAAAATACACACCATGTTAGTATGTTTAATTTCCAATCATTTTCGGAAATCCTATCTTGGCTCACACTACCGCAGGGCTCGCGTCCATCGCAACGAGTCTTAGACGAACGACTGGCAAAACTTAGTAAGACAGAATATCGAAGATGGGACGAAGAGCGGGGGCGCGAAACCATGCTAAACATGCCGCCCTTACTGGCGGTCTCCGGGCTTGTCGAGACGTCGAGTATCCCAGCGACTGCATTTTCGTAAGGTGCGCGGAAACAATTGAGGACCAACGACCGAATGTCAGCTCCATCGCGATCGGCTTTGCACGTGCGAGTGCACGTGATGTATGAGTGACACGATGTCGTTGACATCACCGTCTGCCTCCCTAACCCACAACGTCCGGCTGGTCAGGATTCCGGTTACATAACCTAGCTTCATCTCAAATTCGGTGACCTTCAGCGGGTATACAGTTGGCGCGGTGTATGAATTTTCTTGCGTGATGTAAGAATCAATTAAGACACGTTATTTTATCCAATATATAAATGCCAAGAAAGCCTTCTTACACCGGCTTAGCTTAATTATATAACGTAATCAACCTACGAGCCGCGGATACTAGTTTATATAATATAAGAATTGGGATTTCTTATATCGGTTAAACTTATTAGCTGATAAGATTTAATCTAATATATGGATGTTAAGAGATTTTTCTTACATCGGACGAAAAAATCCTTACACTGGCTCAACTGCGACCCTACCTTCAGCATACTGTTTGCACATTGTACGTAATTACAGGCAGTTTCCCTCCCTGATAGATAAACGAGGCTGGCTACCCGTGGTGGCCTGCTTTGTTTACTCTCTGCTTGAGTCTTCTGAGCCCCTCTTCGGATCGCACCAAGCTTGACCCCTGCGTCGCAGCCATCGCTAGGCCGCCAGCAGGAGAGCACCCTCCAAAGGCGATATATCACGGACTTCTCAAGGTGCCCTGCTAAGCCCTAACCTCAGGGAGGAGTAGTCATTCACCTCTCGCGGGCCACCCTTGGCAGTACATGGACGGACATCATGTGGCACAATCAAGCTACTAGCTGCTTAACTCTAGAGGCACCAGCATACATCCGCCGGATTATTTGGATAACCTATTTGTAACGGATGTATGAGCCCACTCCCTCTCCTCTTCCCCCTCCCCATCATGTTGCCACGTGACCGTGGCCCTCCTTTTGGGCAGGGTGTTTTTGACCGGTCTTGGAGGGAACATCATCTTGTCCGTTTCCTCAGATTTTGTGTAAGCAGATTTCGACCAGATATAGTCGAAACCGATTTACTATGGCCCTTTACGGCTTCACACAATGCAGCAGCTGCCTACGAATCTGGGGGCATAATCGTCAAGATCTACCGCCCGCCTAGGTGAACCAGTTACGATACGAGTTCACGTCCAACATTATCTACCCTTTACGCTGTAGTTATACCCTCGTTCCTATAGCATAAACCCTACCACCGCTGACCCCAGCAGAATGCTATCTTAGCTGGGGACGTCAACACCCTACATTTACCAAAATATAAGATATTCCTATGTAACTTAATCCGACTAGGATCAATCCTGCATCTTCTACAAATAGACCCTACCTGCTAATCTCACACGACCGCTAAGGAGCGATGGCGTTCAGAGTGACCGGAAACTGATGAGATAACTCTCTGGATCGAGCGAGGGACTTCTACTCACGGCTCTAACTAACACTGTTGTTGACCTCATTCTTTTAGATTTTCTCGCAGCGGATACAGTGGAGAATTACCTACCACAAGTGATCATGCAACCGTGCTTATAATTGTAGACTGAACTCGGCTGTATTGACTATCTGTTGAACCACTCATATTTCGCTTATGGCCTTGCATCTGCTTATTGGAGTTAGTCTGCATGTCAGCTGACCCACAGTGGATCGGCCGTAGTTAGGAGGCCTCGCTGCACCGAGAGCTTCATACAATTCAAGCATCTCTACACTGCAGTTCCGTCACTATCTAAAAGCAAGGGAACTGCCTGGCCTACCACGTATGGGTAATGCAGGAGATTAACTGGACGGAGCGACATAGGAACCCACCCGCCGCGCCGCGAGCTTATATGAAAATGAGGCAGCGGCCGGAACCCGGCTCCGGCTGACGATGCAAAGTCACTGTACCCATCGGGATCGGGTTGCGGTTCACCGAGATCAGATGCTATACCAAAACGAGGGTATTTGACTTCCTCCAAACATCCGTGAGGATTTCGGACTTCGGAACACGCTTTATCCGTTCCACGTAGTGATGCACGGTTTACATTTCTAACCCAACGATCGACGGCAAAATGGAAAGCCGTCCCGATACGTTCAAGGCTTAGCAGATGCAGGGTCTAGAGCCAGTTTTGGACCGACCCGAAAGGAAGGGGAGCTGTGTGTAAACGGAGCCAACTTTGCCGCCCAATACATAATATCTATTCTCCTCAATGGCATCATATTCACGAAGCCATTCTGAGATTTACGTGGTGGAAACCCCTCAAGGTTGAACCCAAGTACTGTTTTAGTATAAGTCTCTTTGTATCGTAGACGTCCGGAATTCCGACAACTCGTTGGATGAAGGGCTGAGCGTCGCTGTCTGCAATGCAACACGTCACTGATGGAAACAGTTCTGACAAGCCGACCAATCAGTCGTGATTATTCCAATCAAAGTATCAGACCACTCTTTTCCCGTCTTCCCAGACATACAACCCTCCTTTACCGATTCTTTGCAAACTCAGAGGCGCGTCATAGATCACTGGAGTTTGGAGTTTCCTTAACTTTCGGCTTTTGATCATATTCTCTGCTAGGAATGGTCGGTCTGGCTGAGAACCCACCACGACCCCGCATCCCCACCCCCCCAATCGGCGTCTGAATCCTTCGGCCTCTGTTAGAGTTATTCTGGGCTAGCATTATTCAAACCCACCTGTAGTTATTCGCCTCATAGAGGTCGCGCTGTGTGCATCCTGCTATGTGGGAGTCGCTATCAGCCCGCCTGAAGCGTGAAAACAGCACAATCTTCCATTTTTAATGCGTGCGCGATCTTGAGGGATAGGAGCACATGGCTTAATAGAGGAATACAGGGGTAAGCATCGCCTACCCCTCATATCACTAATTTTCAAGGCCTCTGATCTAAGAAGCTTTCATTGCTCATATCTGACTATCCTTGTCTCATATCATTATGCAGCCGTATCTGAAATCTGGCGGGACTGAAGTTCGGAGAAGAGGGGGTCAGGCTTGTTCGTAGTCCCGGGCACATCTGTGGCAAATCAGATGACCGTACCGCCCTTTAGTCCTAACTATGGTCACCGTCCGCCTTACGTAATACTGATCACATCCTACCTTCGTTTCTCACTTCGTTCAGGGCTGCGGCAGTCAAACCGTGCGACACGAGTTTTCCTTTCCACATCCATCTAATTACTGGGTTTATGGCTGGCTCAGAGCAGATCACATAATCATAGAACCTATATCAAGTAGTTAGTACATGGGATCTCCTGACGACATCTGCTGATATTCCCTTCCAGTTATCCAAGGGCTTGTGGTGTTTGGCAACACATTTCTTCCACTTCTCATAATGCCTCCTGCTGTTTACCTGCATGATCAAGAACGTCCATCCCGCAAACGGCGTCGGCCGATTGTGGTTTGTGATGAGTGTCGTCGCCGTAAAGTGGCCTGTGACAAGAATTTCCCGTGTACACAATGTGTTCTCCGCCAAGGAACTTGTGTATATGGCGCGACCAGGAACGAACAAAGTCTCCGTCCTGTCAAGAAAAAGTCTCCCTTTCGTCCTCAAGCAGTCACTTCGAACCATAGCGATAGCAGAGGCCCGCCAATTTCACACGTCCCTGCCAAGCTCCCGGGGGCACAACAGCTAGGCCGTTGCCAGGACAATGGAATGGTGTTGTCTGAAAATGATAGCAGTGATTGTAGAGATGTGAATACTGCTTACGAGCTTGATCAAATGTCGAATATCCTTGGCGAGGTCACACCGAGGCTCAAGGGTCGGCTGTCAAAGACAAGACTCTTCGGTCAAAGCCATTGGATGAACAATATGGTAGAGCAGGTGAGACTTAAGGCGATGGCGGATTGTCTTGGAATTGCTGACAGGGATCTAGTTCAAAGACGTACATGGTCCTGGCTTAAGGGTCTTCTTCGACACGCAGTCCGAATTGTTTTCTACACTACACAAATGCAAAGCCATAGCACGCGGCTTGAAAGCTCATCAGACCGATGGCATTCAGTCATCAGGACTACCAGATATCTGTGATTCAGCTTCATTCATTCCACCAAAATCAGTTTCAGATGAGCTTGTAGGGAATTACCTGCGGACGTTTGAATCTGTCTTCCGAATATTACATATCCCTACCTTCCTGAAAGAGTGCAGCGAGTACTGGAGCGGTGGCTTATCAAATGTGCCGTCGGGCTTCGTGATAAAATTTCTCCTTACCTTGGCGATTGGCAGTTGCATGTTAAACGGTGCCGATGAATTAAAAGGTTCTCTACGCCAGGCTGCAGCAAACGCGATCCGTAAAGCTGATGCCTGGCAATGTGGAACCATCGACAAACACCGCCTCTGTCTCGACACGATCCAGACTCACTGTTTAGTTTTGCTAGCTAGGCAGACAAGCGCAGTAGAATTCGGAGACGACCTGGTCTGGATCTCGGCCGGTTCGCTACTGCGCACGGCTTTCACGATGGGCTTGCATCGTGATCCGACGCTTTTGCAAGATCCTAGCGCATACCAGATAGAGATGCGACGGCGCTTGTGGGCAACGATTCTTGAACTCAACGTCCAATCCAGTTTAGACTCTGGTATGCCACCGCTGATAGGCCCCGGAGACTACGATTGTAGACCCCCGTCAAACATCAATGACGATGAGATTTCTCCCGATACCGCGACTATTCATGCCTCTTCTGCAAGGGCGGATACGGTTTTCACTCAGACTTCTTGTCAAAGAATTGTACTACGATCCTTGTCAATCCGTCTTCAAGTTACCAGAGTTCTAAATGGGCTTGGCACAGATCAAAAGTATGATGAGGCTCTGCTTCTGAGTCAGGAACTGGCGAGTTCCTGTCGCTTTAACTCCGCATTTTTCGAGTCCCTGTCTAGGAATAGAGGGGCTTCACAGCAGGTAGACCCACCTAGCCGGTTCCAGGTGATGCTTGTCAATTTACTGACGCGCCGTTTCTTTCACTCATTGCATTCGCCCTTCGCAAATGAATCTCTAAAGGATTTAAAATACTACTATTCACGACGCATGCATCTTGAGTCCGCTCTGGAACTGGTCTCCATACTGGCGACTGACTTTTCGGAGAGCCAGATGAAAATGGAGGACCTACATGCCTTGAATCTAATCCAAGTCGCTGGACGGGGGTTTCTAAAGTGCGCGCTTATAGACGCCAGCCAGACCGTGTGCTTTGAGCTCCTACAACAGCTTCGGGAAAGTTGTTTGCCATCGGGTCTGGGCGTACAAATGTCTGTGTCTCAAACGGAGCTGTACCAGGCCGTTCAGTCCCTTGTTAGCGTCGGAAAGAGGCGCATTGAGGGTGGTGAGACAAACGTGAAGCTATACGTCTTCTACTCCGGCGTACTGGCGCAGGCCGATGCGATTCTTTCTGGCGGAGATGTTTGCACGTCTATTACGAGTTCTGCAAGGCGGACCTTGCACATGAGCTACGAGATGCTTCTTCGCCGGGCGGTAAAGGCCGGAATCTCGCTTCCATGTGTCGGAGATGGGAACACGGAACATTGCTCTCCGAGCGGCAGTTCGTTGCCCATGCTCCAGGATGACCTGAACATGTGCGACATAACTGCTGATTTACCGAGTTATATAGACCGGTGGATCGACTTTTGCTTGGAGGGATTGGGCGGCGATTTCGACGTCCCTGAAGTCGGACTGCTGGGAGGCAGGGACGGCAGTGCCGGCGGGTATGGAGGAGATTCATAACGTCGTAGGTTGGTTGGTGCTACCTGGACTTTTGTCCATTCCGGGAAAATAGTTTGTTGCAGCCAGGTTGCGTCAAATCGCGTATAACAACGCATTTCTTGTACCGGAAACGGGCTAGCGACGGAGTTTCGCCGCGACAAGCATTTTATGAAGCTATCTACTATCAACACCATTGCTTTAGACTAACAAATACATGAGAGAATGTTGCTTTATGCCGGGGCAATCTCGAGTTGTACGTCGAGCTATCGGGTAGCGGTGTCGTGAAGCTGGCCATTGAGACACGTGTAAATTCTTCAGGCTGCTTGCGATTTGGGTTTTCTGCAGTGGAGGGCTTCTGACTGGCAGTGGGTATGACACCGCCACGCAAAAAGACGAGAACAACCTGGCCGCAGCGGAAATGCTGGGTTTGGCAGGGTCTCAAGGAACCCGACAATCGTAAAGTTCTATGTGATTCCACGATCAAATACCCAAACCAGCCAATTGACCAAAGGTTTCACGAATATCTTTTCCACAGTTTATCTCCGGGCCGTATTGGGATGGGTTGGCGTCACGGAGATAAGAAGACATACGGAAACCATGCAGATCCGTATGCGTATCCTTACGTCCTTTTGTAGACATCTCCGATGGCCCACCAAAAGCCGAAGCCGCTCCGATCCGTCTTTCAGCTCGGATTTTGCTCCTCGGAGAGTAGTGGCATCTCCTCCCACCGACCAATATCTTCCGGAGCCGTGAATTGGCAGGTTATAGGCATTATTAGAACTATTTAAGAAGCCGGTATGCACAGTAGTTCGCCCTGTGGCTCTCAACTACATTTCTTCCAAGTTTCCTTCGACCAATGGCTGCCTATACCAGAAAACTTCAGGTTATCATCGTCGGTTCCGGCCTGGCTGGTCTCGCTACTGCTCGGATAATCCGTGAATCTCACGATGTCACGATTTACGAAAAGGCGGGCCCTGATGCCGCAACCGGAGGGCAAGGTATTAGCTTGTCCCCTAATGCGATACGTATACTGGATTCCATTGGGTTCGATCGCGAACGCGCGGGCGCTGTGATATCGTCTGGCTACCGGTCGTTTGATAAAGATGGGCATATGCGGGTTGACCTAGAAGTCGACTTTGTCGCCAGGTACGGCGCCGACTTGCTTACCTTCAAAAGATCCGACTTTAGAGACGAGCTTTTCCGACTTGCAATGGCTTCATCTGACGAGCTCGGCACACCACTTAACCCTGTCAAGTTTGTGTCCAACAACGGTGTTGTCGATATCAACCCCTTAGAAGGCATTGTGACGTTGGCAGACGGTTCTATTGTACAGGGGGACGTCGTCATTGGTAAGTCTAATGAGCGCTCTATTATGGACTGGACTGACTGGAGTTAGTTGCGGACGGAATTCACTCCCGTCTTAGGGCACAAATTCTCGGAAGCGACCAATACGTGGCAAAGAAGATGGGGGCAACATGCTACCGTGTTGCCCTTTCAGTGGACAGAGCGAAGGAAGTCCTGGGTGAACTGCCTTTCTGGTGGGATCCTACGACAAACAAGAATCGGCCGTGTATGATCGAAGCCCGTGATGGGAGCCACCGGTTCATCGCGGCGTACGCAATGCGCAACTCCCAATATATGAACTTATCTGCCGTCTTTCCCACACCCAAAGACCGAGCGAGCAGCCTTGATAGCTGGTACGCTGAAGCTGACCGGAACGAGGTGCTGGAAGTATTCAGGGACTTCCACGAGCCTGTCCGTAAAATGCTCAGGTAAGAAACACTGGTATCGATTTTCTACAGCGCCCTTTCTTACAAACACCTAGTGCTGCGGACGAGCTCAAGATGTGGGATCTCCAGGACATTGATCCGTTACCCACGTGGACCAAAGGACGCGCCATTTTGATCGGTGATGCTGCGCATGCTATGACCCCAATGCAGGGTCAAGGAGCCAACATGTCCATTGAAGATGCAGAGAGCTTCCGCTTACTAACGGCGACGGTGGGTCCTGAAAATGTCCCTATAATTCTGAAGCAAATCGACAGCATTAGGAGACCACGTGCCAGCAAAGTCTTGGAAGACACACGCGCTATATCCGATAAGATATCTCTTGAGGAAGTCATTGCGAAGATGGACTTCAATATGAGCTACAAAGGGATTCACGAAGCTATGGCGAAGGCAAAGGGAGATAGTGATTCCAGTGAATGATTTCGTTCTCGATTTGCTTGTGAGAGGGACAAAATTGTGATTGTACATACTGTGGTTGATCACCTGATGCACGCCCCCACCTGACGCACGAAAATCGATTGCATATCAATATTTTGACAATTTTTAACTCTCAATATCTTTATGAATATGACTCCAATTGATAAAGCAATTGCAGAATTAGAATTGCTAATGTTCAAAAAATAATTTATGTTAATTTTTATAGTGAAAAAAAGATGTTTTTGTAGATATTATTCATAATGCGAATATAGAAAAACTATTTTATAAAATTTTTTTTTCTTATTCAATTAAATATTGTTAAGATTTTGTTAAAAAAATTTATATTAAAATTGTTACTTTTATAAAATGTAAATATATATTAATTACTTTTCTAATTTCTTTAATAATATTTATATATACAAACCTTTTTTACTATTATATAATATTATAATTTATAAAATTCTTTTTTTTATCAATTTAGCTTCGGCGGCTTTGATTTTAGTCAGTAATATATTAATATTTATTAAAAAATATTTATCTTTTTGTAATTTAATAAAATTTTATATTTTCTTTATTATGAATATATAAAGTATAAAGAATTTTTACACAGATTTATTATTTTAAGCAATTAATATAATTTTTTTTAGACTGTATTAGAAAGATTTGTAAAGATTATAATTAGAAAAGAATTTTTTTAAATTATTATATTATTTTTATACTATATTATTTTAATAAGCTATTTATTTAATTTAAATAATTAAAACTATTAGATCAGAGTCTATAAGAATATAGATAATGTAAAAAAATGTGTAATATAAAATTATATTATAAAGATATTTATAAATAGAATTAATTATTAATTTTTTTATTGATTATATAATGAATTTTTATCTTTAAGTTATATTATATAATTTAAAGAAAATCTTATTTAAGCAAGTCTTATCGCATTGCATAATATTAAAATCTGCATTATATAAGGATCACATAACAATGTGTATTCTACTATGGTGTTCTATCCGCACTAGATATCGCACTGGGGCTGGCATTGTCTGCACTGCGTGGGTGGTCGTAACAGTGTTCTCAATAAAGCGGCGATATTTATAACAGGAAATTTACGATAATGTAGAAAAACAGGTACGTATAGTGACATATATATCAAGCGATGAATCATGTTGGCTTCATAGCCCAGGATAAGGCCCGAGTTCGCACTCCAGGCGTGAGCCCTTCTACTGGTGAGCACACGGTAGAGGAAGAATTGTCCGGGTGGCACATTGGGGAAGATGAGATGTCAGCTGCTGAGGGTCTGATAGGCTTGACGGAAGGTCCACGCCTGGGGGAAGCAGCCCCGCGGTCAGATGTCTCGGTAGGAGAGCCGGACATGCTCTATCTCAAACCCGAGGCACAGCCTGAAATGGCCGATATCGCACCATCGCCACTGTTCTTTCGCCCCCCCAATGCGTTGGAGACTCTGAAGCCCGATGGACAGATATCGGACTTTTGCTCTCAAACAATAGATCCGTGCTGCCTATCACTTTCCGCCCACCGAGATGCGGACGTTCCTCTTTCGACTAGCTCCTCCCCTTTGCCACAACATGAGCGATTAGTTCTCGCCAGAGGAACCCAAAGTTTCAACGAAATGGGGTATGTCAGAGCATAGCCACATACAACACTATACCGTATTATCCACTTCTACGATATGATCGTGGATCAAGGATGGTGGATTGTCCGCCATTCGTTGCAAACGCCGATCCAAATGTGGTGCTGTCGCTGCCAGCATGGCCGTTGATGGTCCAAGAGAATCGTGGCGATGGTCTGACGTGGGTATCGTCTTGATAGCATGTTCCTGGGAGGGGCTGGGTATGTGAACAGTGGTCGCACGGGTTAGGGAGGTTATACGGAAATACATAATGGGCAGTATAGACAGTATTATGCCACCTCCATCCCAATGTAAACATGCTCACCTGGCAACCGCAGCATCCAATGAGCTGAGAATTGTGGGCGTAATAAAGCGATATGGCACCGCGTAGCTGTATCTACCGTAAATACTGTAAGATGTTGATTGACACACTATGAAAATCGAATCTTCTGGGGCATTTTTTTGGGAGATCAGTAAAAAGACTACTTACTGTATATTTCTATGGCGAATCGAATATTGCTTATTCCATCTCCTAGGTCTGATGCTTAGGTTGAAACCCTGAGAATGCAGCAAGGTTCATTATCACGACTCTTCACCCGCTTCCACCCAAAACTATCTGCCCACTCGCAACGACCCATGCCTTTGTTTCCACAATTTCGTGTCTAATGGAATAATGGATAACGTGTTCTTTTGCCCGGTCAAGACTGAAACATGCGTTCATGGAGTCGACAAGTCACCACAGTCAACCGGACAGCCCAGTCTCTTACAGTAGCCCAATTGCGATCCATGGCCACTGACCTTGTTATGAATGAACTGCATATCCGCTTGCTTTTGGGTCAGGGAATGGCAGAAAAGGTGATACGAACGATGCGATCCGCCTGGGCAACACAGTCATTGAGATTCCTCTGGGCCAGCCGCCGTGCTGCCTCCAGCAGGAGGCGACGATACCTATCGGATAGCGGAGCCCTGTCAGATTCGCTCAACAGCCCAATGCGTGCGTCGAGGTTGGCGGCGATGCAGCGAGAGCGTTTCTTCCATTGGTTGAAGAGGGCATCCACCTGAAGCCGGCACCGCTGAAGCTCCGTTCCACACTGCCGGTCGCTCAGCCAGACCGTTGCAAATCTATGCGCCGTGTCTAATTTTTTGAGGAGCTGGCGATGGCTTTGCCATTCTCGATGAACTGCTGCATGTCGGATACCGACCACGTGGGCTCGCAATTGGCCCAGGGCTTCCTTCGGGCTTGTTGTGGTGTTCCCGGCCAGGCGGCCGCGATCATCCTGTTCCAGCGCCCGGAATGCGGTATGCAATTCTACCTTTTCAACGCAGTCCCAGTCCTTCAACTGACACAAATCAGGATACCATCTTCTGGCAAAATCAAATACGCAGCGCTCGAGTCGTCGCTGGACTGCCGCCAGAACTCGATGCTGTGCTTGGAACGGCAGCGCGGCGGCCCGTGGCTGCGTCGATAGCTTAGAGGGCATCAAGACCGTGGCGACTTCTTCAATTGCACAGTTTCCGTGACTGCGTCTTGGGGGAGTGAGGGGATCTGAGCCTGGCCTGTATTTCTTTGATGAGCGAGGCGTATAGAAGAGACGGATGTGGCTTAGTTGACTACACAACAGACTCCCGAGAGAAGCCTGGCGCAACCATACAGCCTGCGGTGGACCTGTAAACTTTGAATGGAGATAATACGACTGGATAAGAAACAGCGGATCGTGGTGCTTAACGATTCGCAGCTCGCCTCGAGCCCCAAGCTAGAAGGCCGAGAGAGGTATACACAAGGCTCCAGGGGCGAGTATCTGCGTACCTCCCTACATCTTTTAATGTTGGGAAAGGCTGGACCAATGATGCCAATCTTTTTCTAATGTACTTAGAAACTGTCGTTGGTCAATAATGGTCTAAATCAACCGCCCTCAAGGAGTGAACCCCAATGAGTGCATGCCGCAGACGATATACTGTATGCATGGGTGGTCTGACTCGGGGTGAGCGTTTAAATTGTGCATTTTCATCAAAGGAAAAAAAAAAGGGGGGGGGGGGGGGGGGGGAGGGGGATATCACCAGTTACTGTTCTTGCGTGCAAACGCTAACGTAACCAGGGTCCGCGATACTTTTGCGTTGACCCTTTCTGGACCCTGATATTTTTGCCCGAATATCTGACCAAAAGCTTGGTACTACACCGTACGTTCTACTGTAGAGAGGCTTAATGCTCGCAAGTGAAACTTCAGGCTAAACACAAGGCCGGACCTTTGGGAAATTCCCGATAAGGATGCACATTCCAAACACAGGCAAAGGAAAGACAGGAGCCAGCTTAGCAAAAAAACTCATAAATGGACAAGCCCCATGGACTTCCGAATTCACCATCAGCCACCGTGAAAACTCCGAATGAGTAAAGGTCCGTGCCAATTTATCATAACTGACTCTACTCAATAAAACGATTGACACTCAAATCACCCGAAGCAAGAGGGAAATCGCTCACCCCTGTTTGGACTCCCGCCGGGTATTTGATGGCGCAAGGATATTGCCCGGGAAATATCGTCTCTCAGTTGTCGTTAGTTGGGCATTCGAATGGACAGGATCTATCATACGGGCGTGCATATTTCGAACCTACACAATTGCCCATTAAACAACCTGCTCGTTAGTCATTCCAGCCCAAATAGGCTTATTACCCGAATTATCATAGGGGTTCCGTAGCCCACTGCGGCCACATATTCCGTGTCGGTAAACGCACACCTGAGAAACCCTTAAGCAAACGGATGAATGTACGCGGCAACACTGGACATGGGTTGGTAGACACATGTCATCCCGGACATATCTAGACATATCAAGGTACCAGTCGCCCAGGAATGTCTTTACTTCCTCACTTTTCGTTTTTCTTTCTTTTCTTTTTCCCCTCTCTGTTTTTATTTTCATCCCAAAGGCAACCATCTTTCGCATAAAATTACTTCGAGCACTTCGATTCGACGATGCTCACCGGTTTGGCATTTCTAATGGCGGCGTCTCTACACGAGTTCTGGATGAGGCTGTCGGTGACTCGCCAAAAGACACAGCGGACTCAGCATTCTAACGGCGACTCTCCGCTTGATCTGGACCATCATCCTGTTGTAGACCAGATTAAATCACTCGGGACTACTCATGAGACGGCAGTGCGACTACAGACCCTCATACAGACCGACGGGGCTGGGAGCTGGCCTCCGCGAGCCGTTCACCACGCGGAATGGCCCGAGGCACTACATCCGTATCATGAAGTCTACCGCGCAATGTCTCCACAACTCGCGAGCAACGTACACCTTACCGACGACCGAATGAATCTGTCCCGCTGCAGGGCCTTTCGCAGTCAAATGACGGCTCTGCTACAAGCACACATTAACCTGGACGCGGTGGAGAATGCTCTCTGCGACCTGGCACAGGGCGATGGATTCTCGCGGGAGGCCTGCAACGGATTCTTTGCCTGCGTTGCCTACTGCCGTCATGCATTCCGGTGAGAGCCCACTTCCACGGACAGTTGATTGAGTTGGCTTAATTAAATTTTGCGCATAGATGGGCCACAAACCCTATTGTCAAGGTTGCGCAGGATGATAAGGTGATCGATTTCCCCGTGGAGTTGGACATCCCGTGGGACTACCTTTGTCGTCGATACGGTATATATTCACAAGGGGGGAACGCCATGTCAAATCTGCTTTGCGATTTTGATACGAGTGGAAGAATGATCTATACGATCAACGAGGGGATGCCAGATATTGTGCGGTCATCGGAGTACCACTTTACATACATTTTCGTGGAGATGGAGAGGCTGGTAGGTCCGAATTGCTCTCCCGCTTCGGGATATCTAGCTCATGGGTACATCAAAGGCTGTCCCCATCTACCTCCACATCGCCCAGTCGATTGATTACTTTGAGAGGGGAGACAAAGTGCAATGTGCGGAGAAAGTACGGTCTATATTCCGTCAACTACGAAGGGTTTTTCAGGTGTTCTACAAGACCTTTGTGCCTTCCACGGTCAGTCCGGCTGTCTGGCTGTCTTACGTCCAAGGTTTTCACGGATGGGCCGCTGGAACGATAGATGGTGAGACCTACACAGAATACGACGGCGTCCAAGGTGGCCAGATGGTGCTGATTCAGGTGATTGATGCCTTCCTTGGCATGGACCCGTTTCTTTCCACCGAGGCTTTTCGACGCCATGTCACCTACTACCAGCGCGGCTTTATCGACTCCATCCGGCGTCATTCATTCCGTCAGAAGGCTCTTCATGCTGGCGATGGCGAAATCAACACCTACATGAGTAACATTGCTGGGCTGATGCAGGTATGGTTCGTCATACCGCTATACTGCTGTCTGGGGACTGATTGTGTTTTACAGGCCTTCCAAAGCTCCTATCGCAAGGCAATGTCCAAATATCTTGCAGTATCAGCACCTGAAAGAATGGCCATGGCACCTGGAAGCTCAGTCTTGCGCGGAGATAGGGCCGTATCAAATCCACTGGCGCGGGCGCAGGCGCTAGAGCAACTCGAAGATTTATAAGGACTTTATTTTGTCCAAGCGCATAGCAATCGCCTGTGTTGAGATGGCCAACGGGGGTGTGGTTGATTGCCACCGCATGGCTCTTTATGGAAGACTGTGAAATTTGAAAAGCAGGAGCAAGTTGTGATGAGCTGGCAAGCCGTTTGGCTAACTTTGTATACACATAAGAACGGCCCAAAAGTGGATACGATCAGCTCCAAAGGTCTCTAAAAAGGTGCCAACATACGTCATACTGACTATAATACCAGCTTAGAGGCAAGTGAATCAAGGATCATTAAAGGCCTGCATTATACATTCCATAGTATGTATTATGCTTATAATGTGCTTGCGTTTGGACGTGGGCCTAAAGTAATGTATTCAACGCCTTACAAAACAGCAACAAGACCACCTATCTTGGAAAACACGAATGGCAAACAAGATGGAAACACCGAGTTAGGTAGACTTGCTGCACCAGCTGGTGACACCCTTCGCAAAATGTATGTTGCCTTTCCTTTATTGCCTGAG